TGGACACTCGAGCAACCCTGGCACTTTTTAACCGATCCGCTCTTTGCGCCCTTGATAGAGAACTCAGCCGACTCGCCGGTAGGAACCCAAAGCACAAGAGTAGGTGTCTTATCGAAAACAGCATATGTCAAGACCTCAGCGGTAGAGTAAAGCAGCTTCTTCGGTCCGAATGTGAAATCCGTAACGATAATCTTCGACTGATGCCCATTCAAACGGAGAGCGCTAGCATGTTTCGGGATAGTCAACAACCCAGCCGAAGTATTAACCTTCAAATGGAAAGCCTCATTCGTCGAGATGGAAGTATTAGTATGGAAGGTAGCATAGAAACCTGCATTCGTCTCAGGATTCCTCAGCTCAAAAGCCTTAACAGCAGCATTATCCGTGTACTGCGTCCCATTCCCAACAAGATCAGTCATAGTTAGATCGCGCGCAGAGCGCGTGAACAGAGCCAGCAGTTTGGTCTCATGGTACTTCGAGCCAATAGAGCGGTCCTCGGAGATAGGAGCGGAGTAGTCGTAACTGCTGGCAGTGACAGGCGCAGCAATGGCTCCCCAGTTCGTTCCTCCGAAGAGCATGTACAGACTCATGGCTGTGACGCGTTGGCCGATGTTCCAGCGGTAGAAGAGGTTGGCGAAGTCGTCGCCGATATCTTCTGGACAGCCGCCTTCAGGTCCGCCCCAGGGGTTGTAGGAGCCGCCTTGGAATTCGGGCATGAAGCCTGGCATGTTGGGTTGGGATTCTTCGAAGTAGCTGTAGTAGTCCATTACTTGGAAGGGGACGTAGGCGCCGTTGGTGGAGGTGCATTGGCTGAGATCGCAGGTCCAGCACTGTAGAGCGTTAGTTGACTATCCATTCTCTTTCTTTCTTTCCGGTAGCTGGCACGATACATGGACATACCGAAGGATAAGAATCAACACCTGCAACATCAACGTTCCCACCCTCATTCGACCAGTCACTTCCCCACGAGTGAGAATTCATATTGGGATCATTGGCCGTGAGAGGCACAGTAATGCCATTAGCACGGGCATTGGCCTCCAACAACTCCATATAATGAATAGCGGTTTCATTGGGCACACGCAGAGAAGCACTACTTTCCCACTGATTCCCATACTCATTCTCGATCTGATAAACAATGGAGTTATGCCCATCAGTAACCTGGTAGCGGCTAGTGATCTGAGACATCTCAGTGAAATACGGCGTCCACGCCTTTGTATAGCGAGTATCATTATTGCGCAGGGTCCCGTATTCGCCGGTAGTCAACCACAACGGGAAACCGCCAGCACTGGCTTCGGCGTTGACATAGGGACCTGGCCGGACGATGATGTAGAGACCGAGTTCCTTGGCGAGGTCGAAGATGGGAGTGATATCGTGAGCGCCGGTTGTGAAATCGATGGTTGCGTTGTTTGGAGCATGGTAGGCCCAGCTGGAGTAGAAGGCGAAGGCTGTGAAGCCTGCTGCTTTGATCTTTTCCAGGATGTCGCGCCATAGATCTGGGACTGGGATGCGCCAGTAGTGGAATTCGCCGGAGAAGATGAAGATGCGTTGACTGTTGACTTGGAAACTATAGTGGTCCCATTGGACGACTGTGTTTAGTCCGTCATCTTGCAGGGGCCATTGGGTGACGGCTTGATCGTTTGCTTGAATTGAGGTGCCAAGGCAGGCCAGGAGGAGAAGCAGGCAATTGAGTATGCGTGCCATGGTTGACAATGCACCGCTGGATTGCGATGGCGAGTGGAATTGAGGCGACCATGCTGGCTTAATTTATACTCCGGGATTTGGAAAGGGAGATTTCGCCTCAGGTCGAGGGGTATATGCACAAACAGCCACTCGATTTTAGAGTCAAGATGGCTTCTCCTCTTGTGCTGCATTTGTCGAATTTCCGGTGTTAATTCCGGGGTTTTTCCTCCATTCAGATTGCGCGAATTCGAAGCGGCTAACTGCTCCTGGTGGATCAATGTGGAGGTTGGGGTAATTTGGTGGGAATCACTTTTGGTCTTTCGCTATAATATACAACCCAGATCCTTTGCTAATAAAAAAATTACAATATGTCCAAACAACAAAGACAGAGCACGCTGGAAAAACAATCAATTCCTCCAAAAAGCCGTTGGCGAGTCTAACAGCCCGGAGATGAGCTAGTCCCGGGAGAAGACATTGCCCCGTATATTGCCTAGACACTAACCAGTTTCCGGGCGTGCCATTGGCAAAATACAACGCAGCGAGATCCATACACCTGCCGGAAAACGCTGAACGGCGTGCCGAAAGCACAAGCAAGCGATGGAATCATAGTCCCACCACGCTGGGCATCAGATCGTGAATATTTTTTTAAAACCCCAAAACTCCAAAGTTATGTGGCAAGGAAAAGCAATGCTTTGCCGAAAAGCATTTAAGCATCGTTACCAAGAACGCCGAAGGGGTTCTCACCCTTGGTCTCGGGGACACTGGGAGCAGATGACTTCTCAGACTTCTGCTTCTTAGCCCCCTTCTTGGCGGGGACGGTGGCAAACCCCTCTTCAGACTCTGATCGGCTAGAAGAAGCCGAGGAAGACTTGGCCTTGGTCGCAGCAGCGGAGCGCGTGCGGACTGGCGAGTCCGCGGTGACGGTCTTCTCCACGATCTTCTGGACTTGGGCCTTGATGACCTCGTCGTCGGTGGTGACTTCACTGTTCTCGCCCTCAATGGCGGCCCTGCGGATTTCACGACTGAGGCTCTTCAGTGCGTCCATTCCGGCCTTCTCGGCGGCTTCCATATGCGTGGGCTGCTTCACACCAGGGTCCTTGCGGTTCAGGTAGGAGCGAACAAAGAAGCGCGCGAAGAGGTATGTCAGGGGGAGAAGGTAGGAGACATTGAGCCAGATCGCGAAAGCCTGGCCGGTAGTGTCCATGCAGGTCACCATCTCGTGGGAGTATCCAGACTCCTGGATGGGTGCGGTGCCAGTGGTGCCCACGTTCTCAGCGAGACCTTCGGCACCAGCAGCACGGAAGGCCAGCTTCTTGAGCCAGGGAACCATGCCAGCCTCAACGGGGGAAGCGGCGGCGGAGGCGGCTGCTTGAGTCAACTGGCTTAGGGCAGGGCTGCCAGAGGGGTAGGGGATAGTGTAGTGGACGAAGAGGTAGGCAGCAGCCATGTTAGTTCCGAAAACGAACTGGGTGATCTGCATAGTGGTCAAGCTGCGCTTGATGGGGTTGGGGACGCGAATGCGCAGGGCCGTAATGGTATAGTAGGTGTACTAGAGAAAAGTCAGTATACAATCTTACCACTAGAATCGACAATTGCCCGACTTACCATCATCGCGTGAATGGCCGAGTTGACCAGGCAGAAGATCCAGATCGGAGGTGCCATATAACGGATACCGGCCCACATGCACATCATCGCGCCGGCGTGGTGATAGGTCTGCAGGGTGGAGCTCTTCTTGCCCTTGGCCAGAATGATCACCGTATCAACAACCTCGTAAAACTTGGACAGGTAGAAGAGCCAGCCGAAGTAAGCAAGACCCTGGTTCCACAGGCGACCAATATCAGTAGAGTCGGGTATGCCGTTGGTCAAGTGGTAAGCCGGGTTGGGGATAGACCACTCGTTGGTGATAGGGCTGTAGGTAGCGGCATTGCCGTAACCGCGGGGACCATTGATCTTGCAGAGTGAGTCTACAACACCGACCAGGCCGTGGGGATCATCGCTGTCGGGGAAGGAGCTTCTGAAGGCCTGGAGCATGCCTGCGAAGGTCCATGCGGAGTATACGGCCAGGAAGACATTGTGTAGGATAACGAACAGCTTGAACAAGCGGGTGTTGCTGAACGCATAGGGCTTGTACCCGCGGCTCTTGTTGATGCGATTGACCAGAACCACGGTCAGGGCATAAACGGTGGCGATTGTGATTGGTACCCGGACGTCCAAAACTTGATTGTAGAGGTCATTGGGGATGTTGAAGGGTTGCTTCCACGTCGGCGCATCGACGTGAGGCGCGGGGATTGTCACTGGGAGCTCGTTGGGAGGAAAGTTGAGGAGGGAGGCAGGAGGGAGGCCGATGCGAACAGTGGCCTGGCCCATCTCGGTGGGGACGTTGAAGTCGTACATGGTGCCCTCTCCGGAGCTTTTCGCGCGTATAGAAATTCAGAAGAAGGAGGAGAGCTGCACAGAGATATAAGAAAGAGAAAAAAAAAGCCAGGAAGCAGAAGACCAAAAGACCAAAGAAAGCGTTCCCAAGGATCCACCAGCCAAACTGCCATGTTTAAATTCTCAACAAGGCAAGCTGCGGCCGATCCCGGTGGAGCCCCGAGTTTGTTGGGATTTTGGTGAGCCGAGGTCTCAGTCGTAGAGTAGATGTCATCGTACGTCAACAATGTGTCGTGTAGCATTTATGTGATCCTGGAAGCCTGGAAGTCCGGAAACCTGGAATCTCGTGTCTCATATCTCGGCTCTCGTCTCTCTGACTGTGGCGTGTCTGGTGAATAATCTCGTCTCTCCACATTCCCCAGATCCACGCGACTCAACCAACATCTGAATCAGGCATTGCCATGGTCAACCACACCGATGATTCAAGGGATGTAGAATAAACCATCTGTGCAATGCAAAGAGCCACCAATCCCAGATGTTCCGTACCTCCAGATGATCGGAATAGACAGTTGCACAACAAGAATTTGCCCACCAGCAGGTGCAGGTGGGGAGAGTTGCTGACTCATCTCGTGCGGGCCACGGGACTATACAGCCCTGCAGTACAGTAGTGTATGTAGATACACTTGGAGAGGCGGTCTCAGAAGCCAATGCAACTGCATACGCCGGTCAGGATCATGTTGTTGGGATTGCCTTGGCCATTCCCCAACAGCTTGATCAATATGAGATCGGAGGCGCGGATCATCACATGTAGCCTCGGTCATACTTCCAAGATAGGGCTGCGTGAACTACGAACGTGAGAGCCTAGGGTATGTCTGACAAATTCGTCTTTGCATGATATCTCCTATCTAAGATTTGGGTGCTAACTATTTACAGCTAAAAGTACAAACTCCTCAGCGGGGCTTGGTGCCATGAGGAATGGGAGGAGGCGCCGGAGATGACGGGGAGTCCACGGCTGGCGCACGAATTTCCGCCCGCTTCGGTGGAGGCGGGGGAGGGGCCTTCTTGCGCTGGGCCTGACTTTGAATATCCGGATCTGTAGGCGATGGCGCAGGGGAAGGCGACTGGGCCATAGAGTGGGAAGGCGGTCGAGGGACACGCCTATTAGCATTGGCATCGAACTTGCGATCCTCGACAAATGTGTTGAACCGCGAAGTGACCCCCCCCCACTTCTCTTTACCCATGTCGATCTTGTCTGCGTGGCGTTCACGGAAACTCTGCACAGAAGAGGTACCCCGCGCGGGCTCTGCCGGCTCCAGGTTCATGCTCTGATCCGTCGAGGCCCGGGCCGACGGGGGAGGTGCGGAAGAGCCACCAAAACGGGAACTGAGACTCGACGCGGCACCGCTCATCTTCTGCTTGCCAGCGTTGATGGAGTCGGCGTGACGTTCACGGAAATCGCCGTACTTCTGCTTGCCAGCGTCGAACTTGTCGGCATGGCGTTCCCGGAAATCACCGTACTTCTGCTTGCCCGAGTCGATGGTATCAGCATGGCGCTCACGGAAATCGCCCACTTTCTGTTTCCCTGAATCGATACTGTCAGCATGCTGCTCGCGGAAGTTACTATACTTCTGCTTGCCAGCATCAATCTTGTCTGCATGGCGATCGCGGAAATTCTGAACCGAAGAGCTACCACTTGCAGGTGACTCTGGATTCGTCGATGCCCGAGGCGGCGGGGCAGGCCCGGGAGAACCCGAGTTCGTTCTCATCTGGGAGAACCTCGATTGCAGCTCATTGACAGGCGTTTGAGATTGCTGAGCACCCTGCCCTCCAATTCCAAACCCGGGAACTGAAACGCCAGCGTTTGCGAGGCGGGATGTAGCATCTTGGTTGATGTAATCATGTGAAAGCGGCTGCTGTGTGGGGGAATAGGCTGGGGGTGGGTCGGAGCTCTGGGACGCGGGGGAACCGTTGCGAGCGGGAAGTCGGGGTGGTGGCTTTGGGGGTGCCTTCGGCTTCGAGGCTGAACTCGTAGTCGAGCCGGCGGGTGAGTCCATTCGCCGCACGGGCGGTGGAGGGAGATTGTCCGTAGAGAGGCCGGTGGTGTTGACGCGGTATGGAACTGGAGGAGGTGCGGGCTTCTGGGCCTCTTCCTCCTCTTCTTGGGCTAGCTGCTGTTGGTGGGCATTCTGGGCGTTAATCTGATCCTGGGACAACGGAACTCCAATTCCCCGACGATCGGGTGTAGTCTGGTTCGGCACTGCAGCAGCGCCGTGGTAATTGATATGCTTTGGGGGTGGTCCGAATGACGAGGGGTCTTTCAGAGAGGACAGAGGTTGAGAGACATGTTCAGAGGTATCCGAGTCGGGGTCTCTGCCCTTTCCCATCCATCCAGCCTAGCAAACGTCAATAGCCGAGAAGTGAGCAAAAGAGGGGTTGGCTTACCACTTGGTTAATTCCCTTGAAATCACCGCGCCAGCTCTCTTTGCCTCCTTCCTTGCCTTTTGGATGCCAGCCATCCTTCATAACATTGCGAAAGCCACTCATTGTGCTGCAGAGTGTGGGGGTGACAGTCTCCAAGCGGCCGCGCAGCTGTGACGATATATCCCCACTCGGTCACGTGGTGCCCCAATTAGGCAAGATATTCGGATGGAAAGAGATGGAAGAAGGCGATCTAATCTTATTTGCAACTGAGCAGCTAGAAAATCTCAGTACAGAGTGCTCCGTATAGCAGTTGCAAAGAAGGCAGTGGGGAAAGCTGTCATCCCTACAATCTTTGGAATCTGATTGGATATATCTTCAACACTATTGTATACTAAGCTCAAAACTAGAAATGCTCCACATTTTCAGGCCACAGTTTGTCTGCTCAGAGTGCGTATTGTCTTCTGCTCGAATGCAGTCGAACAATTATCACTATCTGAATCAATATTAAACAAAGATAGCTACGTACGACACCGTTTTTGACGTCCAGTTTACAGGGTCGTTTCCGATCCACGTGATGCAATACAACCCTCACTAGGCTCTTCCGGAGTACAAAGGAGCAAGGCTACTCTCCTTGCACTCACAGTTGCTTGGTAAATAGTCCATATATTACACAGTATGTCTAGTTTGGTAGACTGACAAGAGAGTTGTATGAGTGTATTGACTAACTTTTGTTGTTGCTTTTTTCATACAGAACGAATCGAACTCTGGACAAGATACGGGGACAACAGATAGCCGCCTTCTAAGAAGAGTACAGCTTCTTCTCGTGGCTGTGCAAGCCATGCACATTGCTCCCGGTCTGCGCACTAGCACTTCTCATCTCAAAGCGAACCGATCCCTTGTTCACGTCATCACGCAAGGCATCAACGTTCTGGACGCCGATCCTGGAGAGAATGCTGCACACCAGCGACAAGATAAGGGACGTACTTAGTGATACAGCCATGATCGATAACAGAGCCCGCAGAACCCTGTGCAACCTTAACCTTATCATTCTCGGAGAAGTAACGCGAAGCACCGGCGTTCTTGCCGCCGGCACTGTTGCTCTTGTCCTCCATGACCGCAATACTACCCATACTACGGAAAGCCTTAACCAGCTGACCTTCACTGCTCACAAAGTATTCACCAGGAGACTCTGTGGTACCAGCGAGCAGACTTCCCATCATCACAGCCGAGTCGCCTAAGGCAAGTCCTTTCACAATATGGCCCAGGTTCTGGACACCGCCATCCGCAATAGTAGGAACGCCAAATCGGGCAGCAAAGACAGACACACTGCGAACAGCTGCAGCCTGAGGACGTCCAACGGCCATAACCTCCTGCGTGATGCAAGCGGAATCACTGCCCATACCGATGCGCAGACCATCTGCACCCGCAGCAATCAAGGCTCCATGGCTGTCCGAGTCGAGAAGGGTATCGACGTGGAGGCCGTCTCCAGAAGGATACTCTTTGAGCACCTCCCAGAGTCTTGGTGTAATCGTGGACTTCAACCATATTGCTGGTAATAAACTTAAAAGAATGGTAAGCAGGGGATGGAAATGGGGATAGTTCCCAAAGAAAGGCAGAGGGTGCAGGGAACGGAGGTCCTTTTGAACAGGCACTGGGGGGTGGCACATCAGGCGAAGAGCCTACTATTTGATGATCTACGCCCCACAACAATTCGCTTTTTCTCTTGTTTGGTCTGTTATTTGCTAAATATATTGTTTTACTACTGTTACATGCGCATAGCACGCTAGCAGGGGTTGGAAAAGAGACCAATCAAATTAGAACGACTGGATAATCGCTTCTCGTTTCTCGTTTCTCGTTTATAGATCGTCGGTGTGGGCCTCGACGCGACACTTGACTTACTATACCAAGACGGTGAGAGAAAGACCTTGGCACAAGCCTTGATAGACACGACACCAATTGTCCTATACGCGCCATTAACTTCTAGTCTTCTGTAGGGTCCTACTCCTATCGTTCTGCTATTCAGTTTGTACGCCAGGCAAACGCTGGGTCTGGACAGGGATCAAAATCTCTCTGCCCGCCATGGCCAAAGTACAGCCCCTAACCCCCCGGTCTCGAGAATCGACGTTACTGACCTGAATCAAGATTTTACGAGGCAATACATGTATCGAGTTCTACTCCTTTACTCGCAAGTGCAGTGGAGGATTCAGGCTGGACCTGCAATCCTTCGGCCCCGCAGAACCGAAGATTTGCATGCGCTAAACAGATCAGCGAAGCCTAGACTTGGGGGCCAATTTCGGCTTGAACTGAATGACCAGGCAACGCTCTCTGATGGCGGTGATTCGTTCTAAATGGCGAAGCATACTAAAAAGGTAGACGGCGCACTTGTATTGATCATTGAGAAGGTTACATGCCTCGCCAAGAGAGGGGTTCCAATCCGTGAATAGAGTCTGGGTCAGATACGTATATTTTCCTTGACGATGGACTAGCAGCTGTCCCCGGACTGGGCTTCGTAGTACTCAACGCAGTCAGGGACGGTTCCGCTTCCTGTTGGATCGGGGCCTCCCCCGGATGTGGTTGATGTAGTAGATGTTGTCCATGTCGTGTGGATGTTGCTGTTATCGTGGTCTTGGTACAGTAGTCACGGGCGAAGAGGATAAGACTGAGATTTGATGGTTGTTAGGCATATCGGGTTGATGTTCGGGCCCACGGGTTGAATAAGATGTACCGACCTGATACGCCGACGCAGTCATAATTTGATAACCGCGGGCTCGAGCAGGTTGATCCTGTAGCAAGGTTCATTTGATAGAATTGTTTCTTGGTAATGCCGAACTTGCTAACAATATTAGCGCAGTCATCATTCTCAACGACTCAGTACCAGTTGTTACCTGAGCGAGGAACATGGTTAGCAAGGCTTGACTTCGCCCTAATATAGGGGCACATAATCAAATCATACAATCTCTCAGAGGAAACTCACGAGATAACGCCCTGCCTTCAACGCCATCAATATCCCCGTAGTCTGGTGGAGGCTATTAATAAGGGTCGGAGGTAGAGTTATATTCATTAACAAAGGGCGTCCACCAAGGAGCCGCATTTGCGAATTTCTTTACGGAGATCTTCCGGCGTGGGCTGTGTAAGAGCAGCGATCTGAAAGCCTATGTTAACTCTGAGGTACTAGTGCTAAGGACCCATCACTCTCAGAATGGGCTTAGTTGAGGGATAGTCGGAAAATCACATCTATGCCCATTGTTATGTAGGATGCTCCCTGAAATAGGTGAAGATTTTGATAATTTTGTCTGAGAATAGAAGGAAGAATCTCGAGTACAACTCCGATTCAACAAAGCCCGTGAATGAAGGGTAGGCTATGGCGGGGTTGTGATAATGGCCCAGGATTATCTAAGAGAGCATGACCTTTTCATGAAACAGAATTATATATTGGCTTTTTGTACATTCGTATACCCGTCAGCATCAAAGCAGTCACAATCCAATAATAACATCAACTTCGTATGCCTTACATGTACTTTGCGCTCCAACTGGCCGCTAAACGCAAAACAGTTAGGGCTAACGCCGATCCTACGTGGCCCCATGTTAGCGCGCGAACGTCATAAAAATAGCATTTGCACCTGAGCCTCATGGAACAGAATCATTGCTTCAGTGTGCTCGAGGATGCAAGTGTTCATTCATAGATATTTCAAATTTTCTTCTGTAGAGCGATATATCGGACATTACACCCAAAAAGTCTCGAGTATGCGTTTTCTATTGACGCCGACCGCGGCGCCTCGTAGCGCTTCTTTGTTGGATCCCAGTTTGCTTGAGGGCAGTGCTTCCTGTAAAACCCCGCCTTGGGGCCTTGGGGACTGTACGTGGGCTGTGGATGACTCTGTGACGATTTACAGTCTACATTTTCCCCCATACATGATCTCGCACTCGTAATCTTTTGCATCTGATTTGTAAATCATTTCCTTGACGGCTTCAAAGAACGGCTGGCATTGTTCAAAGTGGTAGTGAATGGGATAATTCCAGTGCTGCTCGCTTTCGTCTTCTTTCTGGTGGTTCTTTGTCCGATTCGCCTTCGAGCCCTCACATAAAACCACTGTGCCCGGGAAATCACGCTGCCTAACTTGCTATACTATCTATCAACTATGGTGGGATCCTTCCCCATATTTTTTGAGCCTGGGATGGAAGACTTATTCAAGCAGGAGGACTCCGCCAGACAATATGTGAGTTCTTTGGCGGACTTAGCGGGCACTCCATCAGTTGGTCAAACTGCCGACATAGCCGCAGCATCGGAGACTGCGACAATGGAGAACGCATTACCTAACAGTGTCCCGTTGGCAAGCTCGCAGCCTTTTTCTCCTGACGAGCCTGTAACTGCACTTCCAGCCGGCGTGACCTCAACCACGGAGACCAACACGGAGACTAGTACTCCAGCAGAGCCTACAAATACATCATGGGAAACATCAACTTCAACTACATCTCAGCCAACGACTTCAACGACTTCAACAACTTCATCTTTGATCTCTATCGCACCTTCTACATCGACATTATCAACCACCGCCGTGTTCTCCACCACGGCTTCTTCAGCATCCGAACAAACAACCGAACAGACAAAATCAAACTCAGTAACAACCGAGCCTGGCTCCTACTCAGGTGGCACCTCAACAAAAACGAAAATCGCAATCGCAGTCCCGGTATCAATAATAGGCATAGCCTTAATAATAGCATTGATAATATTCCTCACCCGACGCAGCCGTCGTGAAAAAGAACGCCACAACATGCCATCCACTTACGACATGGCAACAAGCCAAACAACAGCCGTCTCAACCCAAGAGCTAGTAGTCTCGCCCACATATGCAGCGCTATTCCCGGGGCCACGAACACCAACAGCAGCAGTCCCTCTATCCAGAATGCCAGTGCTCAATGTTCCGCCTTCTAATATAGGTGGACAAAGTCGTGATCCAAGTCCTAGTCCCAGCTCTACGCGCCGTATGTCAGTATCTCAGGGGCCGGGACCAAATGACTCGAATACGGAGATTGGGCTTGCCGTTGCTGTTCCATTGGATCACAGGAGGAGTGCTACAGAGCAGGAACTAAGGTCGCCGTCACGGGGAACGGTACGGTTGGCAAGAATGCCATTCGATACTTCTTATGACCCGGAAGACGACGCTGTCTCTGAAGCCTCAGATTCGGATGGGAGGAGGCGGGACAGAGAATTTGATGAGATTTCAGATGTGTCGTCCTTTGGTGCATTTTCACCGACCTGGGATGGGGGAAGGAGACAGTATCGATGATCATTGGGGACGGTTTCGGGGTTTAGTTGATAGGATGACCATAACGAGGCGTTGAGAGCAGGGAGATTGCATGTAGTTTTTTTTTAGCCTGGTATTAAATCATATTACAGCTGGTTATACTAGGATTTCGCTCCGACCAGTACTTGCTGTATAGTTGAACGCTCAAACATATTACCTCCTTCGTGCTAGAGTGGCCCTATTCTTGAACGATATGATTTAGCTCTCCGGATATACCCTCTTCATCTTCCCCGACGTATCTCCATCGACCGGTAACTAAGGGTTGTCAAGTATAAGGCCGCAATTAGTTGGTTTCAACTAACCAGGCGTTTCTAGGCACCGTATGGGCAGGCTTCAATTTCTAAATATGCCCGGGTATAGCTCATACACGTTGGAATGTTAATATGTCCAAACATTCGAGCAAGCCTAGTACTGCCTACAATGCTAATTACCATACCTTATAAAACCACTTTCCATCCACCGGTCCCTTTTCAACCAAAAAATGAGGGTTTCAAGAGTGAAATGCTAACGACAAATTTACGGCTAGTAATTGACTTGGCTAATCAAGGGTGATACATAATGTAATTATGGATCACATGGCTGTATATAGCCCACTTAGTACTTTTTTCTCAGTCAAATGCCCCCATTCTATCATGCATCTAGGGCCAAAAACACTAAAAGTATGATGGGACTGACGAGCCGGGATTGAACTGGCGCCCTTACGAAGTCTAATGGTAACCTCCAGTCGTACGTTTTCTCCAAGCTGAGCTATCGCCCCATTGAATGAATTCCGTTTTAGTGATATGCAATATAGACCTGATCAGGAGTTTATTGCGCGCCAAGATGTCGATCAAAGCAATCAGTAGTGTCCATTGCATACGGGCAAGTCTTGAACCCACAACTAAAACAATGGTGTTCTGGAAAGGGTAGAATAAACGCAATGTTTATCGATCTAACGAAGTGACTGTCTCCTTACAAGGTCTACAAACGCGAGCAAGCAACCGACTTGCATGCTGGAGCATCCTCAACCAAAACACTTCGGTTCTTCTCTTGACTTGAGACCGCGACATCCAGACTGGGGTTTCCCGTGAAGAAGTTGATAGGTTTCAAGCCAACGACCATCTTCTCGGAGGGCATGACGGGCCAATCCTCGATGCGAGGGTTATGCGTAGACCCGAATGTGTGCCAGACGACAATATCCTCATTGCGCACATTTGAATTTCCATCGGGATCTTCCTTGCGCTGCTCAATCATAGACTTGATTCCTTCGCCGCCTAATGACTGCATTGTGTGCCGACCAGCTGGGAAGAGCTCGTCATCCTGGTAACGAGTCACCCAGATGGCATGACTACCAAATTCAGATCGCTTGGAATGGTATGATTGCGGGTGGGCGAGTAACATCTGGCTGTAGCATGGGAATAGCTTGAACCCGACTGGTGTTCCGGTGATGGGGTTGACCTTGTTTTCGTTGACAATTTTGAAAGTGCGGTTTGTCGCAAAATCCAGATCATGGCCACCCTCTTCGGTTATGATCTTTGACTTGGTTGTATAGCCAACACCGAAGGGATTGTGGACGTTCGGTATAGGGTGAGATTCCTCGACCTGTAACGAGTTCTCATTTCCATCAATTGCAGGATCGATTCGTAGAGAGAAGAGATGCTGGTGGTATGGTGCAAGGACACCGGGTGCAACGATCGTGCCGTAGCCAACCTTGTCATTGGTGTTGATTGGGCAGGTTGACAGAATGCCGGTGGCTCGCACTTCATAATGGATCGAAGCGTCTTGGCCGAAGTGGAATGCAAATATATATTCGTAGTTGCTGACCGTGATGATCGTCTGCAGCACGAGGATCCTCGAGCGAGTTACCACGGCATTCTGTGTCCGGTGATTTGTATGCTTCCACAAAATACCGTCATCCTGTTCATGGCAGCAGACCACATTCGGAAGCTTCAGCGGCTCACCGGAGGCAGTGTTGTGCCAACCATCGAAGTACTTGATCAGACCAAGGCAGTCACAGCCAAGGCGTAAATTGTTTGCATTTAGACCAGCACCATCATTCCCAAGATCAAATGCTGCTTTACGGGGATACGGAGATCGTGGATCACCGTACGGTACAAACATCTCCGACAAAGATAGACGGTAAAATAGACTTCGGTCCTCATAGCGAATATCATGGAGTGTCAAGCCCTCGCGGTAATTGAAACCCACGCGCATGGTCCACTTTTCCCAGCTGAGCAGATTTCCGGTAATTTGAAACGACGGACCTTCTGGCTGGATAACCTGGTAGGGCTTTGTAGTTGTGCGCGGCGGGGGTCGCAAATCAGGGTGGTACTCGCTCAATTCAGAAGAGTGAACTTTGCCACGGTCGTAGGGGCGTGCATGTCCACGGATCGACTCTTTTTCGGAGGATGGTAAGTGGTAAATTTGAGTAACTTCAAGTTTCTCCGATACTTCAGCGCAGAGATCAAGTGGGTATGCATAGAAGTTTGCATCGGGGTGGTCAAAAAGACGCATATAGAACCAACACTGGTATATAATATTAGATATAATCGCTAGGAATCCTGAGATCCTGAGGTGATGCACATACCATAGTCGTCCGCTCGGACATATCCTTCATACCATCAGTAGCATAAGCCCAAGGTTCAATAACGACAGAGGCGCCCGCTGGTAATTTGAGCTTTTGAATCTCCGCTTGGACTCTTGCATTCTCTCTGCAAGCTTTCTCAACGGCTTGCATGTACGCGCTGTCGATGTAGGGGTGCTTCCCTGCCAAGTGTTCCTGTCTTATGAGCTTTGTGGAATCGAGATCCACGAGAAGCTCAACTAACTCATACGATCTCGACGTAGATGGAACAGTGACTTGGACTCTTGCAGCTCGGGGAGGTCGCGAGGTTTGGGCCTCTCTAAGACGCTCTTTCTCAAGGAAAGCAATCATCTGCTGCTTAGGCGGCTCTTGGAGAGTGATCACCCTGAAATTGAGATGATGTCCATCGAATGCTCCGCGAACGATCTCGGCAGCCTGTTTTTCCCCACATCATATAAGCAACGAAGTTCATTGTACTTTGAATAAGAGACGCCAACCTTTGCAATTTCCCGAGGGGATAGGGGGTCAAAGGGGTGGACGGCGGCCATGATGAATGTGAGATCCCAGATATGCGATATAGGGAAGGCCTAGAAAAGGAAAGCGGCGACACAAGATCGGGAATAAAAGATAGAGACCGAAGAACGCAGAGGCTTTCTTGCAAACGGCGAAGTGCTAAGATATGTGCGAAATGCAACGCTATTTATATAGGAGAGTATTTCGTCACGCCTTAAAATCTGTACTGGAAAGGCCGCTGTGATATTTGCGAAGGTAAGGAATAGCCGGGATCAAGTTCTCGGAGAGTCCTCGGTGGATGCAGAATGTTCGCTAAGGTTAAGACTTGCCGGGGTATCTGCGCGATATTCGCTAAGGTATAAGAATAGCCGGAAGCTGCTGGGATTCGCGACGATCGCTAACGTTAAGAATAGGCGGGACATATCGGATTTCGTTCCCCGCATCTCCCCTTCAGAGATAGCGAGGAACGTGTCTATTGGTAGGGGGAATTTACGGCTTGGACAGAGAATTACTTCATGCATAGATATTCAATATCCCCTATTTGTAGTGGAGTACATCAACTTGACCAGAACATCATTCTGGTCAAATGCTATCTCACGTAGAGGATCCTTGGTAAGGCGATGTGCAGTCCATGAATCATGTTCGTCGTTTATCTTCCACCCCCAAAGTCAGCTTTGTAGGCAGTCATCTTGCCCTTTGTCAACTCGCGAAGAGCCATAGTGGCGTATTGACTGGATCCCAGCTGGAACTTCAGGATAACAGCCAGCTTATCTGGCTGTTCGTCTGTGGCGATGGTGATATCGGCATCCCTTTGCTTCAACTTGTCCATGTCAGTTGGCACGAACTGCTGATCGTCCTGGGAGTACAACTTGACATCAAAGGAGTAGTCGGCACCCATGCGGCTGAAGATCTTGCGGTAGCTGCCGCTCAGACTGGCATCACGCCATTTGCGGCGCATGTCGAAAGGATCCAATTTACCGCCCTGCTCACTGCCCATGAAGCGACTGTAGAAATCTTTCATTTGGTTGGCCGGGTAGATGATATCGTATCCAGGCTGGGGGAGAACGAGATCAAATAGGGTGTATTTGCCGCTGGCTGCCTCTTCAGCAGTGAGAGCCCGGGCGCGGGTGAACATATCCTCAGCCGCGGTGGCGCTGTCCTCGCCTTGAGGAACGATGATGATCTCGCCGTCTGCATCAACAGTCTCGTTTTTGATCTCAGGGGTTTCAGCCTCCTTATCACGGTGCTCTTGGACAATCACAAGATCGCCTTCCACAACTCGGTCGCCGTAGAGTCGCCAGCGCTCACCGACAGCAAAGTTCCAGACGAGAGACTGGTATGCGTGCACGTACATCAACCGCAGGTTGCGGGGAATGGTCTGCAGAGCACCCAAATAATCATTGCGCGAGTTCATGAGGTGGCGGATAATATTGCTTTCAGCGGAGAACTTGCGCGGAAGTTTCGACAAGATGTCATTGGTGCTGGTTCTGGCCTCGGTCTCGAGCTTGGTCTCAAACATATGAATGGCCATAGCACGAGCCTTGTCATCGTTGCTAATGTTCATGGTAGAAGCATCGCCTTGCTTTGCCGCCTCCAGAACGTGAGGGCTGTAAGACAAGATGGCATCGCATGCACCCTTGAAATCCGACTGTAGAATCTTGACACCGACAGTGTCAGTCCGAGTAGTGAAGGTTCCGAATCGCTGAAGGCCATAGTAGTTGAAGTATCCGCGCTCGCGGAGGTTCTTCAGAGAAGTGCCAACTACCTCGGTGGCCTTGGCGACTGCGCTCTGGGGGTCACTCAGGTTGACACCGGGAATGTCAGCCTCGCGCAGAGTAATCAGGAACTCGTTGCCCTGCAGATCTCCCAGGTCCAGGCCCTGCTTGCTGTATTTGAAGTCACCGAGAGTGGCATTGCGAAGAGTCGGGTTCAATCCCGCAAGTCGCTCAGCGAGAACACGGGTGGCGCAAGCACGCTGCGCGGTAACGCCGCGGCGATCCTTGGTTCCGGCAAACTGGAAGGACTTGGCGTTCATCTTCAGTGAGCGAGCGATGAAGGAGATAACTTCCATGGTGTCTTTGTTCTCCTTGTAGATAGTGAAGTGCAGGTAGGGTCCCCCGAGTTCTTCCCAGTTGGTACGGTTGCCCTGACCACGGGCTCCGCCATCGCCGCCGCCGCGTCCTCCTTTGTTCGAAGCACGCTTGAAACGGTTGTTCGCCGCGGTGATAGCCATCATGCCATCCTGGTCTGTGGTCGAGTCGATCTCAGAGTTGAAGATGCGACGAATGTTCTGGTGGATCTTGGTACGCAAGTCGCGATCAGAGATAGCAACCCTGACTTTGCCGAATTCGCTCGGCCGGGCCCTCGGCTTAGCCATAGCTTCTTTGTGCATGGTAATGATTGTAGTGGCATTTTCCGCGCCGAAGAATTCGCCCAGAAGGGCGCAGTCCTCATCCGACACTTGGAATTCGACTGGTGCTTGCTCGATCTTTGGCTGAGTTTCCTCAGTCTGCTCCGTAGCCTTAACCTCCGTCTCTGGGGCCTTTTCAACAGGGTTGGGCTTGGGGGCAGCATTCGGCGCGTTCGTGTTGTGAAGGTGAACAACTTCGCCGGCGGTTGTGATCTCGTTGACCATGAAATCGGTGTATCTGCGCTGAGCTTAGTAGGGCCCCGAAACACGCAACAAATGGTCTCTCACCTCTTTTTCAAGATACCCGAAAATCCCTCGTTGTCAGGACTCACGAATTCGGTGATTCCGACCTCAACTTCCTTGACAGCCTGAGCGTCCGGAGCTGCAGCGGGAGTGGTTGGGATATCTGCGGCGCCGTCGCCAGCGACCACAATCTCCTCTGGGCCAGCATCACTGGTCTTCTGCCGCTTGCGCGGCGACTCCACGAGATCGTGCTTCTCCATTGTCAATCGCTTGTAAAGGGTGGGGTTGGAGAAAGAAAAGGGTCGAGCTCCAGGAACTTTTCTTGACCGATTGGGAATAGCGTGGTAGGGCCAATGCGGGGAAGCCCTAATACCGAATTAGGAAGTATCTCCAACTTCATGTATAAGATTGACCTGGAAAATGATTCACGCTTAAGATCTGTTCTAACAAATGTATCCTTACTTCAGAGTGATTGGGCTCCTGTAAACATTCAATCCTCAGCAGGATACACAACTATCCGATCCAAATCCGCGCCCTTGTTATCAAACCCGTTATATAAACCACCAATGGTGATTTTGTTCTTAGTTCCCTTCTTCAGTGTCAGCTGTAGTGGGGTGGAGAGAATTATCCCTTTGTGTGTGTCTCTCTGGTAAAGGGTCTCTATGTTCGTCGAATCTCCATTGACCACCACGCTGCTAATCCTACGAAGTTGCCACGAACCGCCGATTCTGTCCGGGGTACCTCCAGCTATTGAATGCGTCAGAACCAGGCTTTAATTTGCAGTAGTGGGTGTACTTACGTTGGTCGCCGAAACCCATATCATCGGTGTCTGATAATGCTATTAGATTCTTCCGGATAGCACAGGAACAAGGCAAACATACTTTGGTAGTAAAACGATACCCATTGGGGTTTTCCGGAGCCTTCAATGTTCTCAAATGTGACTGTACTGTCATTTCCATATATTCCGGTGAGGATTACTCCATCGGTGGCGAAGTTCTTTTGACCTATCAGTCACAAAGCCTCTAGCTCCGAAATATGATCGTACTCACAGCCTCTTGCTTATATGCATCGCCCTGTATCTTCGCATCTTTTGCACTGTAAGTCTTTCCCTTGATTGCTTTCCATTCACCGGTTTTTCTAGTATCTAGTTAGTGCACTCGATCTGATGCAGGTATCGAGGAGGACATACACGTCAAGATCGTAAACGTCGTGCCATTCCACTGATAGACGCTTGCTCTTCTCGTCAACCTGAATCGGCAGCCATATATAGCGACTATCCCAGACAGAGTTCGAGTCCCACTGGTCTCCAATGTAGAGATATGTTGTCTTCTTTGTTCCCTTTATTTTCAACGTGAATCCAGACTGCGAGTTGAAAGTGCGCGTGTTCAATGGCGCAACAATAAATGGCTGGGACCAAGGACCACTCAATGAGTCGGCGCGGAATGCCACCACGTCTGCATTATTAGCCAAGTACTTTGTGAAGAGGTGATATGATAAAGCCGCTTACTGTTAGGCCTATATCCAGTCTTGTGGCTCATAAATGCCCAGTAGCTTTTGTCTGTCTGCATGATAGAGGGCGCCTCAAGATCAAATTTTGGGAACCGATACACTATCTTTTCGAGTGCCGTGAGATTGTCGTTCATACTTGAGATGTACACATCTCGCCCATTCACACTGTCCCCGTTTGAGTAGAGAGCATAAGATCGGCCATCCTTGTAGTCAGTAAACATGCCAAAATCCTGGGACCAGTTTCCAAGAGGCGCAGTTGCGTCGACGAAGGTGTATGGCCCACCGACCTTGGAGGATACCGCATGGCCTTGCAAAAGAAGGCCGTATTTGGAATTGTCGGCATGCCACCACATCTGCTTGATCAGCCTTCTTTGTTTATAAGTGGTACGTAGACCGCATCCTTACATGATAGTCCTCAGTCTGCGAACTGTAGGCCACTTTAGGTCGCTGAATAATGTTACTGGGCGAGATATATTGGTGTCCCTCAACCGGAGCTGTAAACTTCAGATGTCAACTTCTTTCCGCAGCCAATCAGACTTTACAATGCAAGAAGATACCTAAGGCCAGTCCCCCAAAAGTCCAGGTACTCAGATCCTCAGAACTATAGACAGATACGCCTCCGCCTTCTGGTTGATCTTCTGTTTTATACTCGCCGAACCACCAGAAGCGGCCGGATTTCTGGTCGAAGGTGATTCCGGACCCGTGGGCGTTGATCAACGAGCCATTTGTGTCATGCCATCTACCTCCGGGAACAATGTACTTGCTCTCTGATGAGATTACCAAGAGGGTCGTCAAAAGAGCGAATGATAGCCGCATTATGGCGTTGTAGTTTATGCCGATAAAATCCCTCTCGGTATAACAGGGATCTACATGTATCACGTCTGAGGGTCACATTTATAGCCTTGTCGTCCAAATTTCGGTCTCTACTGTGCCGACGTTGCGGGGTAAAGAAAGGATACTAGGTGCTTGTGCTTGGTATGACTTATGGGAGTTTGGCTTCTATGCTATACTGAACTCCCTTGTATGATGGGTTGAGTTCCTGGGACGTGAGAAGTAAAATTATTATCCGTAACAAGCAAGCAAATACAAACAAGGCATTGACCGGTGGATGAACTTCAAAGAGCGTTATTATCACAATCTTCGGAAACCACATTCTGAGAATTTACTATAGCTGCCTGTGTGGTGGATGTAGTGGGTGATTCAATTTGGTGCAATATGTTTGGATTTAGGACATAGTTCTCACTTTACAGTCCTGCAATGCTACTTGGCGTAGTTACTTTGCTGCAGGAATTTTTCCGTTTAATAATGATCTTGACGTATTGTATCAGGTCTATTCACATAAAGCTACTCATAAACTTTAGTACTGTATCCTTTTGAGCATGGAATAATTCCTCCGAATGCCAAGCACCCCCGCAATTATATCCCGCTCCGGGATTAAATACTTTCGGTTAATATTGTGCCGACTGCTTGGACGATCTGAGGGGTCTCCTGCATATGTACTTTCTTTGACTGATGTAGCTTTTCAGCGAGCGGCCATTCATTGGTGCAAATTTACTTCTGTCAAAGACACGAAGCTATCCCTGCTCAGGAACTTAACTAACCTTCATCTCGATTGCCTCGGTTCGCACGGGCAGTGTGTACAAAACTTCTTCTGAGTCGGGCAAAGACCGACCGATGTTAGAAGGCAGTCTAGCTGCAACTATGCTTTAAATCGTGAGTGTAGAAAGAGAAACTGGATTCTATTTCACATATCAACGTTAGCTCTCGTCATGTGGCCCTCAATCCCAATCATTCTGGCTGTTTTAGTAGCTTCATTCAGCCCGGTGGCCGCCAAAGACCACCGAAAGAGCTGTACAATCAAGGGTGGCGGGAGCAATGTGACCGATGATGCTCCAGCTATCATGAAGGCATTCAGAAAGTGCGGCCGAAACGGAAGAGTTGTCTTCGAGCCTACAACGTACTATGTTAACTCAGTTATGAACGTCTCCTGGCTCGAGGATGTTGATATCGACATCCACGGTACCCTTTTGGTATACCTATCTCCTTCACATGCCTTGCAATATTAAACATCGGTATTACGTATCTGGTTTGCTGATCATCTACGTCTCGCACTAGTGGAGCACCGATATCGCATACTGGCTGAACAACTCAATGCAGGTTGGGTATCAAAATCAGTCAACAGCCTTGATAATCGGCGGTGATAATGTCCGAATCAACGGTTATGGGAAAGGCACGTTCGATGGTAATGGTGATTATTGGTATCAATGGATTAGAGAGCAACCAAACACATCCAACTACCCAGGCCGGCCGCACGCTGTGACCTTCAGTAATCTTCGAAACTCGGCTATTCGTGGCCTCACATTCCTGAGGAGTCAGATGTGGTATGTGAACAGTCGAGTAACATTGCTGAGCCATCATTTGCTTTACTAACCTTAATTTCAAGGACGATGTCAATCATTCAGTCTCATAATGTTTTGCTTGATAGTATCCTCGTAAACAACACCGGGAATTGGGCACAGAGCTGTAAGGACTTGACTAACGGTACTGCAACTCAAAGACAGAGAGTGCTAACTTGTCGCAGCCAACACCGATGGGGCCGATACCATCCACTCTTCACATATCACATTCAATAACTGGACCGTCTACAATGGCGATGACAGCCTTTCTATGAAGGCTAACAGCACTGACATAACCATTACAAACAGCAAGTTTTACAATGGATTAGGTATTGCTATGGGAAGCATTGGGCAATACAAGGACCAATTCGAGACAATTGAGAGGGTCACGGTCAAAAACATCGAATACTACAACACATTACATGCTGTGAGTGACCAATTCCAAGGAGATGTTACTAAAAAGTACAGCTATATGGAAACTTCACTCACTACCAAATATCCTAGTTCTATATTAAAACATGGACAGCCGATCAGAATGGCTACCCACCGAACGGAGGAGGCGGCGGACTCGGATGTAAGTCTTTTTGTATTTTTATATCCTGTGCCCTTTCTAGATCATTCTTTCCACGCCAGTCTATAAATGCGCTACCTATGGCGTGCCTTCGAGTTTGCTAACTCATCTATCAGTTGCATCTGAGATGAAACTCACGAACCTGACCACGACAGGACTTCGTGGGGCCGCGTTCGCAATCTCTCAGTGCACGCGATTCTCAGGTGCACCAGGCCAAGGCAACTGCACGAACTCAGAATTCCAGATCAAGGACGTGGAAATTGACGGTCTATCCGGGACCAGCGAGTCAACGCGGGTGGCAAGCTTGCAGTGCAGCACTGTTGCGCCGTGCACCAATATTTCCATCTTTGACACTGCCCTGCACTTTAGTAATGGCACTGATGCGGAGGGGTACCTGTGTGGGAACGTTGCGAACCCAATTGGATTTAACTGTACCGGTACACCATGTGTAGGCGGAAGCGCCACTGGGGAGTGCTAGGAATGAGCTTGATTATGCTGGAAAACGCTCCTAATCAGCCATAACTCACTTGCAAGAGGGTATTTAGCACATATTTTCACTGTAGGGGTTATTACTAGTTTTCAGTGTCTAATGTACACTTTAAATTGACGTTTGGAGCATTTCTCGTGTAGGCAGCAAGTATGTCCGTAAGCAGCTCATGCCTAATAGGCTAGTACCAGTTGGTGCATACTACCATTGATATTTACAATAGTTGGCCCAGAGGAGTATAAACGCCAAAGCCGAAGCTTCTCTTGAAACACAGCCAGTGGAGGTGTAGGCTACTATAGAACTACCCTCCAGATGGAATTCCGATATGACACTTATCACGGATGAGTTTGAAATGCCCAAATAATATTAATCCAGGCCTGTCCATGCAAAATGCCGCTCCGGAGATGTATCCCAGTTACTTACAAGCATCTTCTAGCTCATGAGCTGTTAAATATCCCATTAACAGACTAGACTTTTGCCAACATAATCTTCAGTAAGGAGCAGCCAAGAGCCAAGTCTACCATGAACCGTAACCTTCCTTAAAGATCTGAGTGGCTGTATGGTCCCACATCTTGGGAATGGCTTTTCAATCCAAGTGGAACAGTCTCCCACCGAACATGTAGGCCACGCCTCTCCCGATCAGATTGCATGAGCTTACCTCACATCGAGGAACCCGCTTACGAAGATGCCGGGCTAGTTTGAAAGGCTAGAAGAAAGCTCAGCGCGTGATATTTAATGCCTTGGTTGGGCGGATGTTTTCAGCATGGAGTATCAAGACAAGAATCTATGTAGTGAATTCGGAGACCGTGATTAGCAATTGCGTAGATCTAAGTCTATACTCCATGGACATGCATAAGTCTGTTCGACCAATACCTACCAGCTACCAAGGTAGTTTCTCAGATATATCCAGCGCCACCGAACAAGCAAATAAAAAGCAATATGCAGCACAAACCCCCCACAGATTCAAAATCCAACGCTGGGACAACATAGCTGACTGGATTATGCGCATGAAAAATTACATTTGTCTCTGGGAAATCCACTCAATCTCCGACCTATGGCTTCTGGTCGGAGGATACAAGAAGAAACTCACGCCGAGTCCGAGGTATAAATAGGAGACTTCCACCCAGTGCTCAGGATTCCATTCACGCTTTTATCAATCCAAACCAGCTACCATCAAATTCATTCGGTAAGGCTTATATGACTTCTGTTACTTAGTCTCTCTCTCCCACACTTTATACATATGGAAGAACAAACTTAACATCCAACCAATCCACCAGCTCCCAAAAATGAAATCAAACTACATCGTCCTCTTCGGTATGGCCCTTGCCGCCATGGCCGCTCCAACCAGTGAGTGACACCTACATCCTATATCAAGCTACAATCGAAGATAAGGATCGGGAATCCTCTAACGAAGTTATGATCTACAGTCCCCGGAGGTGGCGGCCACGGCGGCGCTGGTAGCGGCCTCGGTACAGGCGGTGGTTCCGGATCAGGCCTTGCCGGCGGTGGCGGTGGTGGTATCACCATTGGTAGTGGCATTTCTGGGGGATTTGGAGGTGGTGTTGGTGGGGGAGCTGGATATGGTGTTGGGGCAGGATCCGGTGCTGGAGAGGGCAAGGGCAAGGGTAAGAGTGGATGGTAAATCTGATTTTGCTTTGATTTGAATATGGGCTCTGTGGATCTCAAGTCGCACTTGTGGGGTTTACATATCTAAATATATGGAACGGGACCAGGCTTCTCAAAGTAGGAGTTGAAAGTGAAAGTGGCGCTCATCCCAAACTCCATGGCTATTTTTTTTCTATCTTCGGATGTAGTGTGCATGATACATGGGATGCGTTAGAATGGCAATGCTCTGTGCTGTGCGTTTTAAGATAAGACAGAAAAAAGAAGGGAAAGGTAAACAAGATGCAGAACAGGCCAAGAAAGAAAAGAAAGAGATCGATGAAGATTTTACAGTTCATCTTTAGGAAGGTCTTCCTTCTCCTTCTTGGGCTGCTCCTTGGCCTTGGCCTTCTTCTCAGAGTCAGACTGCTTGCCCTTCTTTCCCTTGCTGCCGGAACTCTTCTTCTGCTGTCCCGCAGCGGCGGTCATCCGCTCATAAAGACGGTTGAGGATGCGCTCGAAATCGCGCAGTCGGGAGTCAACCTCCACAAGAGTCAGGGCCGGGTCGTCGGACTCGGTTAGCTTCTCCTGGAGACCGAGTTGGGTTTCCAGCCAGGGAGCGGTGGACTCATACGCCTGGGTGATAGCGGTGAGGTCGGATGGGGTGAAAAGGGAGTACTTGGGGCCAGTGGGCTTGGCGGTAGCGGCGGTCTTGGCGGAGGTTGTGGAGGTGGAGTAGGCGTCCTCATCGAGGTCATCGAGACCCTCGCCGGAGGCAGCTGGGGTGGGAGTAGACGAGTTGGTCTCGGACTCGGTGGAGGTGGCGCTCGAGGCGGAGAGGGAAGATGAGTAGGTCTGCTCGTCGTTCTCGATTTGGTTCTTGATCAGTTCCTTCATTGACTCGGCGTTCTTGAGCATGTCCTTGAGCAGCTCAACGCGCGCGGGACGAGCGGAACTCTCCTTCATGCGCTTCAATGCCGGGTTAACGATATCCTTCAGGTCCTTGAGCTTGGATTGGAACTCGGCTGTCTTAGCCTTGTCACTCTCCTCGTACAGCCAGTCGCTGGCCTTGGAGGCGCGCTCGGAGAGGAGGGTCAGCTGATCGGCCTTGACGGCCTTGACGAACTCCTCGTTGTCGGCGAGGTCTCGGCTGCGGTAGATGAAGGACTCCAGCTCATTGAGAGCCTCCTCGCGGAGGATGCGGTCATTGTCGGAGGTATCAAAAGCAGAAAGGCGGGCGTGGATGCGAAGAAGCTCTGCGGCCGAGGGAGCCGGGGTTCCGAGAGGAGTTGACTTCAAGCTGATGGGAATGATCTCGGTCTTGATCTGGGGAGTGGCCTTTGCGTCCTTGGTAGAGGTGGTAGTGGATGTGGTGCTGGCAGAGGTTGTGGTGGCAGACTCAGTCTCAGGCTCGAGGGTAATCGATTCCAAAGGCTCGCCATTCTCATCCACAAGAGGTTGCTGTTCATCCTTCTTACCCAGACCGAAGAAGCCCTTGACATCTTCAACAATGCCCTTTTTCTCAGACTCAACTTCGCAGCTGACGTTACCACCAACAACTTCGGGGAGACCGTCAGCAGGGCTGAGGCGGATCGCGAACTTGGTGGTGATGTTTGCAGTAGCGCAGCCGAAGGTATCCTTGAGCTTGGCCACAGAGGCTGTCAGGTTCTGGGTCTGAACACTGAGAATAGGTTGTACTTCGTTCTCGGCGACATGCTGAGCGAAGCTGAATTCGAAGTCCTCCAGGTTCTTCACGGTGACCTGCTTCTCAAGGCCGACCTGAGAAGTGGCAGTGAAAAGCTTCTGGTTTCGATCCTTGCCGTCAGAGTTCCACTTCAAGGACACAGGGTATGAAGCCGCATCACTAGCGCGGATATCCTTAACGCGGAAACTGGGGCTGAGGGCAGCACCCTTGAAAGCAGCACCAAACACAGCGGCCTCGTCGGCATTGACGTTAGTTCTGATCTTCTTGGAAGAACCACAAAGCTTCTCCAACTGCTTCTGAACGAAAGGAGTACGGATGGCTCCACCGTGGAGAACCACGGAGTCCATTTCATCCAACTTCAGACCGGCGGCAGCCAACGCTTGCTCGACAGGGGTTCCAATACGGGCGATGTGCTCGGCAGCCATCTTTTCAAAGCTGGCCCGGCTGAGCTTGTATTTGAAGTTGAGATCATCGTCGTACAGTCCCTCGAAGCTCGTCGACGTCTCCGTGTTGGCGCTCAGGACTTGGCGGAGCTTCTCTGCATCCTTCCAGAGTCTCGACATGGTCTTTCCGTGTGCCTTGACTTCAGCGACAGTAACCTTGTCCTTGAGCTTCTTGTCTTCAACCAGTTGGGAGATCATATCGTTGACAATAAGATCGTTCAAGGAGTCTCCGCCGAGCGACTTATCCCAGCCAGCTCCAATAACGTGAACCTCCTGGATAGTCTTGTTGAACTTGCCAACATCCTTAACCTTGCGGCTCTGGAACCGCAGAACGCTAGCGGATGTCGATCCAGCACCCATGTCGTAGACGACGTGGTACTCGGGCTTCTCGCCATCGGAAACACTGGGGAAAGTACGGCTGGTAGCGTAGTTCAAGCCAACAGCAAGACCATCACTGACAAGAGCCTGGATCTTCAAACCGGCAAGCTCAGCAGCTAATTCAAGGCTCCGCTTCTCCTCCGCGGTATAGAACGCTGGGTAAGTAATGACGGCATCACGAACATCAGAGCCCTTACCAGCCAAAGTATCTGCGTTAGCCTTGATCTGCTTCAACTGCATGGCAAGAATCTCCTCGACCAAGAAAGCCTCCTTCTGCTCCTGGCCGAGACGGTTACTGCGGAGAGCAACGGAGCCACGACCATCAGGCGCAGTCTCTAACTTCAGTGCGGGGAACCGACTCCAGTATCTCTTGACAGTCTCATCAGCACCATCATTGAACGGAACACCCAAAAGTGTCTTCAAGTTGATGTAAACATCATCCGGGTACCGAGCCGCCAGGGCGAGCGCATCACCACCATAGAACCGTTCGGGGAAAGGAGCATCGCTCTCTCGGGTAGGCTTGAACGCGATCGCGGCGGATTCCTTGCGCTTCGAATCCTTGGTGAGGACGATCTCGAGTGGGATACCAGGTTTCACTAGTGCGGCCTTGAAATATTCTGTGCCGATGTCGATACCCAGAACGGCCGATCCGGCGGCTGATGCTGGCCCAGCGAAGCTGAGTAGGAAGAGGAGGAAGGGGAGTACGACGAGTGATAGCATTGGGGAGCTAGATAATCGCCGGCGGTTGAATGCCATGATCTATGTTTTTGTGCTCCGGCTGTGGGAGTCAGCCAAATTAATGATTCGAGATGGTAGGTTCCAAGGGAAGTTGCAGGTCACCCACCTCGAGCACGTATATAAATGTTTTTTGAGGAGCGATATCTAAATGTTCCACCGGGTTGCCGAGTGATGTGTCGGAATTCGGGTGGGACGCTGGCTTGCGCCAGACGGAGAATTGTATGGAGCTATGGAAGAGCTCGAGATTGGCGTCGAGACGGAGGAGATGATGGGGGATGTCGACGGGTGAGGATGGGGAGAGAAAGGAGTTGAGTCAGAGGGATTAAGCCATCCGGAAAGGGATACTGTGGCCACTTGGAGCGTGAAGCCTGAAAGAGCTGTTGGATGAGGACACGGGTCATCATGCAAACATTGGCATGTTTGCACTGCTTATCGTTATCGTCTTACATAATTGCCCTAACTCGACAGGGCTGAATGGGCGTCATGCTTGAAGTTATTATAGGATATTGCGAGGAGTGGTGTAATTACTGAAATAAATATCAGTTGACTAATTTATGTATGACTATATTAGGGTTCCATAATCATGGATAAGGAGCGTCAGTCGTCAACCCATTAATAACTGTCCTGCCAGATTACTCGTGTAATTAGAATAAAAACTCAAGCATCCCCAAAGACCGGATATCCAGAATACGATTTTTTTTAGTCTTTTCATGATCTCTTTTTGGAAAAAAAAAAGTTGTCTGTCCAATCTCCATTGAGCAGAGAGTATCTCTAAGGCAGATTGGCTATATCGGTGACCGCTTAGAGCAGAGCGAACAGAACGGCCAGACCAGGAATGAAGGCCACAATAGACTTCTGGAACTGAGCTGGAGCACTGTTGAAAGCAGGAGAGGACGAAGCAGGAGGAGCGGATGTGGAAGACGTGACGGGGATGGACGACGACTCAACGGGAGCGGGGTTAGTTCCGGAGGGCTGAGGAGCAGGGGAGGTAGCCTTGGGTGGGACCACAACGGAAGTAGTAGGCTCAACAGCAGGAGTCGTGGGGACAGCCGGGGGAGTTGTGGGCTGGGTGCAGCCCTCAGTGCAGGTGAAGACAGAGGTCACGGTGACAGTACTAGTCTGGGTCACAGGGTGAGTGTAGGTCGAGGAGCCGCTGGAGACGGTAGACCAGGTCACTGATATCATTAGCAATTGTCTCTGTATATTCGTTGGAGTTCACATACCAGGGCAAGTCGTAGTGGTGTAGGTGGTAGTCACGACCACAGGAGGGGGAGTGACAGTGGAGGTCTCGCAGGGAGTTGTAGTGGCGGGAGGAGCAGTAGGGGTGTCAGTCTCGCAGGGAGTGGAGCTGGCGGGAGGAGCAGTAGGGGTTTCAGTCTCGCAGGGAGTGGAGCTGGCGGGAGGAGCAGTAGGGGTTTCAGTCTCGCAGGGAGTGGAGCTGGCAGGAGGAGCAGTAGGAGTGTCGGTCTCGCAGGGAGTGGAAGTGGCGGGAGGAGCGGTAGGGGTGTCGGTCTCGCAGGGAGTGGAAGATGCGGGAGGAGGAGTGGGAGTATCGGTCTCACAGGGAGTAGACGACGCCGGGGGAGGAGTAGGCGTGTCAGTCTCGCAGGGAGTAGACGACGCCGGGGGAGGAGTGGGCGTGTCAGTCTCGCAGGGAGTAGACGACGCCGGGGGAGGAGTAGGCGTGTCAGTCTCGCAGGGAGTAGACGACGCCGGGGGAGGAGTCGGCGTATCAGTCTCACAGGGAGTAGAAGACGCGGGAGGAGGAGTGGGAGTGTCAGTCTCACAGGGAGTAGACGACGCGGGAGGAGGAGTGGGAGTGTCAGTCTCACAGGGAGTAGACGACGCCGGGGGAGGAGTGGGCGTATCAGTCTCACAGGGAGTAGAAGACGCCGGGGGAGGAGTGGGCGTGTCAGTCTCGCAGGGAGTAGAAGAAGGCGTCACAACCGGGGGAGGAGTAGGCGTATCAGTCTCACAAGGAGTAGATGTCTCGACCGGAGGAGGAGTGGGAGTATCAGTCTCACACGGGGTGGAGGTGGGAGTGACAACTGGCGGAGGAGTAGGAGTATCAGTCTCGCATGGAGTAGTCTCCGGGTTGCCGCCGTGGTCACCGTCACCACCGTGACCCCACCAGTCACCACCGCCGCCGTGCTCCTCACCACCACCGCCGCGGATGGCAATGCGAGCCTCACCAGCATCTCTGGGTGTGATGACCATGCCGGACGCGAGAGTCGCGGCGTAGAGCAGAACGATTGGAGCGCCCCGCATCTTGGCTAGCAAACGAGTGTTGATATAAAAGTAGGGCTCGTTTATAGATAGGGCTGAATGGACCCTTGAAACGAAAGACGATAGGAACCGTAGCGAGAGAGTTCCTAAACGGGAAATATATGGAATCGAAATCGTTTCAGAAGTGAACTAGGACGACGAGGGGGGGCGTGGGTTAATTTATGTCCTCTGAGTTGGTCCTCCCAAGAGCCCAATCTGGTGCAGGAGGATCAGGATTGCCAATCCTGATTGCCTGACTCACTTAGACTCCGCTTCCCGGCCATTTCCCTGATAGGAGCCGACGGTACAACGGCACTAAAAACAGACCAGAATGGAAATAAAAAGTGGCGCCTGATCTTGGAAAGCCAACCAAACCTAGCATGAACGATCGGTATCAAGCGGTCCACCCGCGTATTTTCCAGTGCAGAGGCTGGGCCATGATGTAGGGTATAGGACTGCCGCATGCAAGAAGGAGCTAGCGCATGTACACGGGCCTGGTTGACTAGACGACAGGTACTGGGGTTGAACCAATAAACATTTGACTCGGTCTCAGAGATGGCATCTGGTTCGTCAACAGTCGACCAGGCTCTGAATGGAAAAAGGCAAAGACGTTCAGAGCCCGACGCTTAAGCGGAACAGAAATCGTTGCAGATTAGGCCTTGGCGAAGCGATGTGTAGCCCTGCGATTGACAGTCATGGTACCCATGTTCGGCAAGGTGCCCGATGCGGGCCTCTCAGATTTTTCCTTTCATTCACATTTTTACTTCCCTTCTTGGCTATACCGAGTGAAAAGAGAGACATGATGATGCTGGGATCCATCCAGTTCCGTGGTCAATCCAGGAACCCTTTTCCACATCCTAAGAATAACCTGGAGCTCGGTCCTGTTCTCCATGTGTCAAGATAAGAAATGTGTGGGGAAACCTCGCAAATGAGAGTGAACATTGGAGACTCGTTCCAAGGGACATTGACCACGCTTTACCGAATCGAAGTCAATTGTAAAGAAACGACCCATCGCAGGGTGCGGGAAAAACACGGAACCTTGTGATTGCTGTGCATTGGTCTGGACTTGCCCTGTGTGCAGGATCCACGGTGGGTCGAAAGGAAATTACCGATCGGAGCTGATGTGGAAAGGATATTCGATCAAGAGAAATGTGCCTCATTGCAGGCTTGCAAAGATAACTTGGAAGTGGAATTCAAGTGTGCCTGAGCGGGACAGATGGTGACGTTACATGACTGCCGAGCATGCAGGGGAGTGGACTTGGAGAGTGGAATTCCCCTGTGGGTTTTTTGCTATCAAGGAAGTTCCCCGTCAGGTGATGTCAGCGCCTGTCTCTCCCTCTCTCTCTTTACTATATTTGTTTATTTCTTTATTTTCTCCTTATTAGTATTTTATTTCCATTTTCTTCGGTTCAATATTCTATGTCTTCTCATTTCACTTGACCTTGAGAACCATGAAAGTCTCGGAACTCGTGATACTGCCCTGAAGTACAACGCATACTCCGTACTATTGTTGGGGATTGTCAATTGGACTGATGATCCCAAAAGAAAACATATTACATGTACACAGTACATAATACGTTATGGCGGGGTACTACTGTATTGCCAGCCTCCTCACTATATCCCTGCTCGTACATGCGTCGAAACCTCCCAATATACGTATGTACATGCAAGTACATGTATACCCGAGAGGGGACCCGTCAGACGGCAAATGCGGGGGTCACATTCCCAGGGCAACAATTGTGTCTTAGATATTGAGATGTCTTAAACTCTGCCGCCACATGCTGGGGTTTACATACGCTAACCATTATTATCTGCGGCGAATAATGATTCTCGGGAGGCTGGTCCGGGATTGTCGTATTTCCCTAATGGTCAACGCCACGGACGCATCCCCCGGTATCCAACCCACAGTTAACGGGCGTAGACACTAAATTTGGAGTAATACGGTCCACAAGCCATCTATTCTAGGTCCAGTCCTGAGGAATGGGGCAAATTGAGGGGAAGAAATGGGGAAATAATGGCCTAGTCTGCCGAAGCCGACTATACCCTGGCATTGATTTGATTGCGATGATATCAACACTGGTCATGCACCAGAACAGGTTGGACTCAATCGTCCTCATCGTCCGAGCCACTACTCCACCCGGTCTCGTAGAATTCTCGAATCTCACCGAGCCCGTTGATCATGTCTTCCCGCTCATCAACCGAGACCATGCGAGCGGCAGTTGCCGAAAGGGCCTTGATTCTCTGGGCTGTACGGGTCGAAGCGGTCAATGCGGAAAAAACGTGGATGCCAGTACCTGCTTTGGGAGTGGGGAACATGTCGTGTGGGAAGCTGTCAAGTATAGGTAGACTAAGTGGCGTATGGTAACTGGGTATATACAGTGTGAGTTTCTCCTGGCTGAGACAATGACTGGGAATGCGAGGGTGCCAAAAAAAAACTTACCTTTGGAGCATGGGCTCGGAGTTGTAGAGCCTGAGCTTCCTGGCGTGCCCGAGATCCCTCTCGTCCGCGGGCTCGCCTTGTCGTTCCGGTTCATTTCCACGAGTAACCTGGACTTGATTGAAGATGTGGGCGCCCTGGTGGTGCTCGCCGTCATAGGCGAAGTCAATGTCGAATTCAGTTTCTGCTTTAGTCGATCCTTCTTCATTGGATGACTTATGATTATGACCGTCATTGATTTTATTGATGGAGGTTTGCAACTCGAAGATGGTGTGTGTACCATGCTCGCCCGCCAGGGAGGCCTCGAAATGCTGGTACGGCCGCAGTCGGGAGGGCAGCGTGACCGTCTCGATGGCCGAAGCGATCAAGGCCGTCTTCTGCCATTCTGATTGGCGATCCACATTGAGGTAGCTGGGAAGTTTATGGGGTAGGTCGATAATTGGGGCGTAGAGTGATGCCTGTGGTGAGATCGAGTAAAGCGACCTGGCCTTGTTCGTATCATTCTTGAACTGGCGATGCTGTTCAAAGTTCGAAACTTAGCCAACCAACTCATTGACTCCTTGAAACGGCACTCTTGTGTTACTTACCCTCTGCATCCTAGTGCCATCCTCGATAGCCCAAACCCAGATACTTTTCTTTCCGTATTCGTCCTTCAGTCTCTCGATATACCGGGCCGCAAATCCACCCCAGGCGTCATCTGACCCGGAGAACAATTGCAGTGCTCGTAATTGATCACACTCCTCAAGGAGAGGTCTCACATCACGGTCGATCAGGTCATGCTCTTTGTCGAGGGTATGAAACAGCTCTTCTCCGACGTTCCAATCCTCGAAAGGCATAGTTTGGGAGTTCAGCTCGTATTCGTTCAGCTGAACTATAGACCGTGGGTGGTAGAACACTCGGTTGTAGTCCGACCAGTAGCGTACAGACTCCGAGGTTAGACGAGGAGCTTGAGTACCCAGATCCAAGCTTTTCTGATAATCACTGGGCTGAATTGGAGTTTGCCTTTGAACAATCTCTGGACCATCCCTGTCAAGGGTTAGCTTTGGTTGCTTCACCCATACGTTCCATCCATTGGTACATCATACCATAGACCCTGACCGGCATTAGAGTCTTCGGTAAGTTCGTAAAGTGCATTGTATCTACGCAAGGTACCGAATCCACCTTTGAGGTCGTAGATTACTGTCCGAGGAGTGTAAGTCTCAGAGCTATCAGCGCCGATACCTGGTCGGAAATGAACGTCATGGTCGACATTGGACTCTTCGCCCTCATTGTATGTAAAGTATGATTCCTGATATACATTAGACCAAAGTTGGGCACCGACTGAGAAAGACATTACCTGTAAGTTCCAGAAGTGTGTCGCCAGATAGTTGGCCCGCTGGCCCAGCTGAAGAGTAACAATTTCATGCATCTTTATGCAAGCAATGAACACTGTCCAGGATAGCCCGTCTGTAAATTTTGATATTGGCAATGCAAGTCTTCAACGGCACACAGACATGACGATGATGCACTAGACCCGATGTGGGTGAGGGGCGCACGTGAGGGACTAACTTCATCGGGGAAGGCGTTCCTTGTCACCACAGCAACAGTCACATGACCTTCCAAAGAGGGCAATAAACATCTTTGTGTGGGTGCGTCACTTCTTGAAACTCCACAGTGATTTTCCCCCGTGGCATAACCCTTATTTTCTCATTCCTGTGATGCTCCTTTGACACTGTGATCTTCATCGACTGGATCTATAAACTGTCACAGCATCTGCGATGGAGTCTCCGACGCGTCTTGCCCTGAGTCCCTCAAAGGTCCTCCATCCGGTGTCGCCGGAACGCATGAATCAGCAAACCATACCCGCCTCGCCCTCGCTACCAGCCGACCTCCTCACACTACACCACAAAAACGCCAGAGGCGTCTCAGAAGTCCAAGCCAAAGTGGCTTTCCTAAACGGTCTATCGCGGGGCACTAGCCCTGGCGGTTCGTCCGCTGCCAACAATGCCGCCATTCAAAGGGCTATTCTCGGCCGCGAGGAGGCCGAGTCAGCTCTAGCCACCGCACAAGAAGAACTATCCGAAGCTGAATCACGAGAACGCCGAATTAGCGAACGCCTCGAATCACTACTAGAGGAATTACACGGAACGAAAGAACGCCAGGGGCATGAACGATCTATTTTCGAAAAAGAAATTCGCAAGGCCCGCAAAGAAGCCTTCCGGGCTGGATCAACTTTGGTGAAACTTCAGGAAGAACTGAAGCATTCAAAATCGGAAGTCAAAGCACTCAAGGACGAAGTGACAGCAGAACGGGAGTCCAAGGAAAAAGCCAAGCAGGAGGCATTCGAACGTGCTTACGCACTCGCTGGTCTGACCGAGGAACTCGAAGTCCTCAAAGGGAAACTCCGCTCTCTGGAAACAGACAACCATTCTAGCAACCTGGAAGTTCGCGCCCATGAGATTCGGAGAGAAGACTTCGACAGAATGTCATTGGCAGAGGGCGACCTCGCCTTTTTGACTACGCCGCGGAGACCTAAACGTGTCGCTGCAGGCTCCGTCCGATCCCCCGCCCTTGAACAAGAAGAAGACGAAGCGGAAGCTACACCTCCCAAGCGCCCGCGTTTGTCCGACGTTGCGACTAAGAATGAAAGAACTGCCTCTGAGGCGGATCCCGTTGAAGTAGATGAGGATGTCTTGGAAGAAATGAAGGAGGACCTTGTATTCGAGCGCCGCCGCAGGGTTGCCGCAGAAGAAATGGTGCACTTCTTGAACATCGAGTGCCAATTCGAACGCTGCTCTTGCCGCATTGCTGAGAGTCAGGGTCGTCGCTACATCTACGACCGGGATTACTATGACCGGTTCCAGAAGCCGGAGATTGAGGCTGCCGAGGCTGCTCACGCTGAAGCCGCCCGTGTCAAGGCTGCCGAAGCCGCGCAGGTCGAGGCTGCTAGAATTGAGACTATTGAGGCTGCGCAAGCCGAGATCGCTCGTCTCAAGGCTGCTGAAGCTGCTCGAGCGGAGGCTGCTCGCATCGAAGCCGCTGAGGCTGCCCAGGTGGAGAAGGCCCGAACTTCTGCTGCTGTTGAGGCTGCTCAGGCTGAAGCTGCGCGTATTGAAGCTGCTGCAGCTGCCCAGGCGGAAGCGGCTCGAATTGAGGCCGCCGAGAAAGCAAAGGCCCGGACCGTCCGCGAGGCCACTCCTCAGCGAAACAATGCTGAGGCTAGTATCGATCAGGTTATCTCTCCACAGTCTCTTGCGCATGAAGAACCAAGTCGTACCCCCCTCGCTGAGCCACCTACTCCGCCGGTCCACCAACACTTCGAGCCTGCCGTAAAGGTTGAGTCCACGGAGCCTCCAAAGATGCCGATGCCCGAGGAGCCTATGATTACATTCTCACCCGAGACTGGCACATTCAAGGCATTCCCATCGCCCCTTCGAGACAACGTCAGACCGCTGCGATTTGATTCCACGCCCGACCTTCCCCAGCCGCAGGAAGATTCCCACGAAGAGTACATTGACCCCTCAGCACCGGTCTCTAACATCGAGACTTTCACCACATCTGGAGAGCCCGCCCCTATAAGAAAGCCCCGTGTTGCTCCCTCGAATACTTCCCATAATCACTCGGCAGCACCCCCACCTGCGGAAGCCAGACCGCCACGTAGGGTTGAAAGAGACGTGCATGGGCATCGCTCGAACGCACCTTTGCCCTCGGAAGCTAGGGCTGGGAGACGCGTCGAAAGAGAGCAGCCTCAACCCTACCCTATGCCCACAAAGAGAGCTCCTCTCCGTCAAGAGGCACAGCCCCAGCGCACCTCTCACCCCGGCATCCCCGACACCCCTATCAACCGGGAAGAGGCCCTCGCCCAGATCAGAGCTCGACGAGGCCGTGCTCGCAGCCAGCAACGATCAGTCAGTGCCACCGAGGCCAGTCGTGCAGCTCGAACCTTCGCCGGCACAAACCCGAGTGCCACTCGCGGACCTCGACGTCTCCCCAACCTCCGGCCCGATTCAAAAACAGAAAACGATGTTGGCGAACGTCGAGATATGAGTGCTCCTGTTCGGATGTTCCGACGTTAATGGTGTCCTGCTAGCGTTGGTCCAAGATGCGTAGTTATGTCTTTCTTCACTTTTGCATAGTCTGCCGGTGCTTCTCGTTTTCAATACCCCCCGGCGCTGCGTAATTTGCTTCTGTTTCATTTGCATGGCGATTGGAAGCAATCTTTTTTCTTGTTTTCTTTGTTTTTGGTCTTTATTGAATGACTTATGTTCGGTTCACGAGTCTCACTATACTTCACATGGATTGATTACCATTCTCTATCACTTCCTCCTCTTTCCTCGATGCATTTTCGGCTTGAGTGTCTATCTTTTTTTATCTTTCCTATGTGGCATTTCTCTTCTTGTGAATACTTCTCAACTCTAGACTATTCGGGTTATCAATCTATTCTCTGTCATGCACATTACTTCACTCCCCAGAAAGGACGCCTCCACCGCGAGTCGTTTCACAGCTTGAAGTCCACACACGTTGCTCTGCATATTGACCTAGAGGATGCCAGCATGGTTTATCCCTTGCGAACGATATCTACAACCAACCAACAGCCCATCAACAAAATAAATATTGAAATGGGGATGGCACGATGGCAGTCTGACATAGCAGACGGCTTGATATCAATGGAGACAGCACAACCAACCACTCCCATGTCCAGTGCAGACGTAGACAGCAGTCTCTGTAGGTGGCTATCGCACTAGAAATGAAGCTATATCATGAAAGAAGAATCTGGTGGAAAACTGTAGTAGGATGATGCTATCTCTAAGAAAAGACTGCATGCAAGCTTCCTAAGGCATTTGCGATACATCAGGTCACTAATACGCCACTGCCACGGGTTCCACCACTACAATATATAAAATCAAGATAAAGGCACGGGTATATTCAAACATAGAGAGCCAGCTCATCTACAAAACCGAAATACCACAGCAACGAATCCTAGCACTATCAACTCTGGCCGCACGACCCCACCACAAAGAAAGCAACTCTTCAACAAAGATGCGATCCGCAGCACTCCAAACATCAAGCCCCATCTCCGCCATATCCGCAACGGTAATCGTAACCAGCTCAGCGACATCACGATCTTCATAACTGGCTCGAGACCCAGCCTGCGAAGACGTATACGCACCAGATCGCTGGCGCAGGAGTGGGCTATGTCCATCGTCGCCGTGGATGGATTGGCGCGATATGGAGAGTGATAGGTCTGTATCATCATCTGCGGGATCATCGATGTATGGAGCATCATTGTACGAAGCGTCGTCTTCGTCGCCGCGGACCTCACTGTCGTTGCGGGCGATCGCGCCGGCTAGTGTTACGAAGATTTGGGAGGTTAGACGGCGGAAGTATGCCACCAGGGCGACTTCTGCTGGTTGTTGGGCCGGGTCTTCTGGATTGAAAGACCGACGCGTGGCAGAGGGGTGGGCAAGAGATTCGACGCTTGTGAGGAGGCGGGTATCTTGTTCTATTTGCTGTTCCTCTTCTTCCTCTGAGAGGCCGTCGCGGTTCTCGCCTGCGGATGCCCACCAGATGAACGAGGTGTAGGCGAGTCTTGTCCAGGAGAGGGGTTCGACGACGGAGCTGGAGGAGTAGGTTGAGTCTGCGTCTGAGGAGTCTGAGTCTGGGTCTGAATCTGGGGATGTGGGTCTATTGGAGAATTGCCGGATACCGCGACGGAGCATGGAGAAGCGGCGGGCGTCACGCTGGGTTGCTTTCAGGGGGATTTGTTGGGTTTGATTCGGTTTTGGGCCTGTTGCGTGGACCAGGGAGATTTTGGGGAAGGTTCGCTCGCTCGCGTGTTGCGTGTAAGGTGCGGGGAGGGTGATGAGGACGTCGAAGAGGTCCGGTTTCATTGTTAGGACTGTGTCTGTTGAGCAGGCGATCCAGCTTGGGTCCGTTTCCAAGTCTACGATGCTTCGGGAGGGGTCGAAGGAGGATAGGTAGGGGATGTCGTGGATGCCGACGTTGAAGAGGGGGCGTGGGCGGAGAGGTGGAATGCGATCTGAGGGGAGGAGCTCGAGGAGGGAGTTCGGTAATGAGGCTAAGAGAGATAGATCATATACTGATACCGGTTAGCAATTGGTTGGGTGTTATAAAGCCCGTGAGAGCTTACCATAGTTGCATGCAGTATGCACAGGAGCCTCGCCCATGAAGAGGATGCGTTTGCGCAGCAAAGCTGCTCTGTACAGAGGGAAGATCAAGGGTCCGAAGCAGTCCATAAGACCAGGGAGCGATGAAGCAGGGTGGAATGGCGTCAGGGCCGGTCTGAACGTCTCCAGCACCATTGCATCGCTAAAGGCGCGGGTGCGATTCGGGTTATCCGGCCGCTCGCCGGGGCGGAATCGGAGACTGGAGGGCGAGTCCATGGGGGAGTCGGGGGCTGAAGAGTCAGGCCCTCCTATCCGATATGACTCCCAATAGTCAGACATCGGCTGCATGTCCTCCATGTTCGCAGCGTATTTCCTATCAAGCATCTGTGTCAGTTGGGATTCCCATCCGCCGGGTGTCTGGAGATACGAACTGTGTCAGCTCCTTGAGCTTTGGGGCGTGTCGCCAACTCTTGCCCAATCTCCCTGTGCTGAGGGGGACGAGCACCCCGATCGCGAACATCTTCGCATTGCGTTCGGCCACCGTGGCGGGATAGTTGAGGAACGCGCTGATACCGGCATACTGTTCATGGACGAAGTACCTGGAGCGCGTCAGCAGGAGAGGACAAATAAACTGTAGGAGATCTTGAGACATACACCAGATCCTCTGTCACATTGTGTAGTCCCGATGGCAGTGATTTGTATTCCACCACCCCTTCAACCTCAACTATTCACGGGACAAGTCAGCCATGCGCGTCGACCTCGGTTAGATAGTTCATTGCTTACCTCCAGGGGCAGTTCGTTTCCACGAGACCACATATCTATTGTCGCAGCAGGTTAGCGATGGGTTCCTGAGCTATACAGCTGTGACCCAAGGAAAGGAGTAAGAATTACCCGGTCCTGATGTCGAAGCTGATCACAAACAGGGCGGCGATGCCCGGGGGTGACTCCATGGAGGAACGGTGAACATCAATGCCCAAGGGCCTAGATTCAGAAGTCATTGTGAGGGAGAATCATAGAGAGCGACTCCCTTTAAGAGGTCGGGGAATCACGGTAATGAGTTGAGGGGTGAACCTCGTAAGGTCCTTGGCTATGTGAAGTGCCTGAGGCAGAAACTCGGATCTATACTTTGCCATTTTGTGATCGCCAGATCTTTTCATCATGGTTTGGTTTGTGGCTATAGAGTAGAGGATAATCGTTGAATATAGGAACAATTGAAGCGAATGGTGGGTAGTTCGGTTTTCAATCTTGTTTCAGTAATTCAGTCTAACACATAGCCGTAACTAAGTTATAAGTTAAGTTATATATTGTTAACTTAGCCATATTGATGAATATGTTACAACTCCACCTCTACAGCTTATAGAGAATAGTGGAAAGACAGATAGCTTCAATGTCAATTTCCGCATAGTTCTCTTGATCACACCAATATTCCCACCTTACATGGACAATATATGAATGAGGTTGTTGATCCCCACTGCCTCCACCGCCCAGCCAAGCAAACATTTCGACGTCTTGTTGCCCATTGGACTTTCTATGTTTATATTGGGATCTGTCTACCTCGAGTCACTCGTCTAGATCAGGCTATCATCGTGTTAACTCTGGCACAATGCCTGACAGCTCCTCTCATCCCTATTTCCCCCTTGATGCCAACATTGTGGGTTATGAGCCCAACCAAACACCGCTTCTGGAGCTCCTCTTCTCCGCTGGTGGAGCTTGTACTATTCTCCTCGGTGTGACTTTTGCGTTGGCCAGTTATGTACGACCGACACTACGCTTGGCAGATCGAATCGCCATCCTGTGGTTTGTGCTCTGTGAGAAGCCAGTTGTGAGAGCCCCAGAAGAATGAACACTGACAAAAGGGTTAGCCGGAACATTGCATTGTTTCTTCGAGGGCTATTTCATGGTCCACCATGACCACATGGCGTCTGTCCAAGACCTATTCGGGCAACTATGGAAAGAATATGCCCTGTCCGATTCCCGATATATGACCTCGGACACGTTGGTCCTCTGCATGGAGACCATGACGGTGGTAAGTGGACTAGACCAACACGACGATTCACCGCTGATTCAACTCAAGCTTCTGTGGGGACCCCTGTGCTTTGCTGTTGCATACTTGACCGCAACCAGGCATTCCCTGCGCCACCCAATCCAGGTCATTGTGTGCATGAGCCATCTCTACGGCGACACGCTGTACTATGCGACCAGTCTGTTTGACCATGCCTATGGACGGCCGTATTGTCGACCGGAGCCGTATTATTTCTGGCTGTATTATTTCTTTATGAATTTCATTTGGATCGTGGTCCCGTTCTGTATGTTGTGCAGCTCCGGACCGTTATTCCCGTGTTGAGTGCTGACTTTTTTTAGACTACCTGTATAGCAGCATCACCACCATTTCGGCTGCTCTGAAGCGACACGAACGGTCGGCAGAACATAAGACTAAGTAGATTCTCTTTCGTCATAGCTTATATTGCGGAGGCGCCCTGTGGAGCAGGTTTGGGCCAGAACAGCGGCACAATAGAATAATTGACAATTATTCTCATTAAAAAAAAGAGGAAGAGAGGGATGGAATGACAGTGGGGGGTCCAAGCAATGGAGTAATTATGTATATAGAGAGAGATACAAATAGAAAAGAGCGAGAAGAGAGAATAGTACAGGTACAAGGGAATAGTAACAACTACTGAGGCGTTACCCTATGACGCTGCAGGATGGACCACCTGACGCGCAATCAATTTCTCATAATTTCCGAGTGATCTCCTCTTGTGATCGAAGATCGAGTTAGACCTGAGAGCTATCAGGTGCAAATCCTTGCGTGCTATAAGGTATGGCGATTGGGCACTCGGCATAGATCACCGTTTCCCAGCAACCAAGTTAGTGGCGAGAGAGGGGCTTATCGAGTCAGCCCCAACTTTGTTTATGATCCCTGAAGGCTTTGAGATCGTCAAATGCTTGACCTTCAATAATCCTAGACTGATCGGAGACTTCGCGGGTCAGGTTTCCTTCAGGTTTCCTCTGTGGTGAGTAAACAGTGACGTCGGATGTCAACAAACCGCGTTTCGGGTACGCAACGAAACACGACCTTTTGCTGAATGGCCTTTTCTCTCTGCAACAGATACCGATGCCGTCTCCTGCGACACCCAAACGCCCCTCCAACAGTGGAGGTACCGCGAAAGCCAAGCCACTCGACATCGGAGAGCCGCTGGGCGTCCACGACACAAACACCGTACGCTCCCGAGTACGAAAATGGCAACAACAAGGCGGCGGAGTGATCACGATCGATGACGTCTGCGCGAACGAAGATGAAAACTCCACGAAGACCAAACCGAAGCCAGCCAAAGCCAAGGCAGAAAAGCTGGAGCGACCGAACAAGGACAATCCCCCCGCGCTAAGGAAGCGCAGCCACAGCACGCCGCGCAAACGAGTGGTAAGCGACGAACACTGGAAAAAGACACGGAATCGAGCTTCGACGCAATCCTCGTCGCGCAACCTACCTCCACCCAAGCGCATATCCGAATACACCACGAATGATGGACAGCCGAGATCTTCGCGATCGAGGCGCAACGACAGCGAGGACGAGCGAGAGAAGGGCCAAGACGCCCCTCGATCCTCGAAGCGGAGCTCTGGGGCGGGCCCCAGATCCCAGGTTCGGGACTCGAAGTCCAGCACTCGCAATATCGATAAAATCACCGAGAGCGACTATGAGACAGACCACGGCAAGCCCGGGGAGCCCTCGGAACTCTCGGACAGGCATAGAAATCGGTCGCCTCCTCCCGAGGATGTATGGGCAGCGAGTGAAGCGGACTTCTCCGAGTTGTCAAAGAGGCGTGCTCGTGGTGCTCCGAAGCCGCCAAAAGGAGGCATATTCGCGCATATGATCGACGAGTCCAAGAAGATGTTTGGGAAGCCTGAGCCAGAGCCTCCTAGACCTACGCCTACTCCAACCACGGGCCGTGGAGCCAAGATCGAGGCGTGGCTGTCTGAGACACCAGACCCCTTTCTGGACGAAGTAGAGAACAAGAGTGATTTGCCAGCCCCCTTGGATCTAAAATCAGGCCGAGCAAGGCGGTCCAAGAGACTCGCAGATGGAGAATTACAAGCTGGCACCGATTCCGAACCATCAGTGATTAGCGAATCTCGGCCGAAGAGCGCTGTGAGCCGACACTCCAAAGGAAAGGAGAGCATCTGTTCAACCGACAAGCCGTCCAAGTCAGGGGAGCTTGATAGAGGCGAGGAGTCGAAACGATCAAGCATAGATAAGAGCTCGAAGTCATCAACCAAGAGCAAAGAAGAGAAGCCGGTCCAGGACAAGCCATATGAGGAAAGCATCGTACCCTCGGAGTCCGAAACCCAGCCCTTTTCCGAAGACTCTGAAGTTTCAGGCCATAATGCACCTGTGCCACTTGGCCGCAGCAAACCTTTCCCCAGCACCGGCTACCATCGACTATCGACGATTGCCTCGGTCGAAACTCTCAGCGCTACTCTTACAGATGGAACTGCACCCGCGCCAAAGAAGGCAACGACTGAAAAGCGCCAGTCGAAGATTGCAGAGGAAGCAGAAGAAGCAGAGAAGGAAGATCAATTTGATCCTGAATCCCTCCCGGTGGTCTCGTCACAGTTGAAACGAAGGCTCACAACCCACAATGATCTTATGTCTGTCCTATCAATTTCAACATCCCGAAGGGGAAGCACTCGATCTAATCGCAGTATCCGTACCAACAAAAGCCGACTGGCCCACGCGACGGTTGATGACCTGCTTCAAGAGCTCGTGGGCGATGAGACGAAGTATATGCGAGAGCTGAAGACATTGGTCGGTGGTGTCATCCCAGTACTCCTGACTTGCGTACTCTCTCGATCAGACTCGGCTATTGCCGCAGGTCTATTCCGCCCTTCTCTGGACCCTCAAGATGATGTGAACTTCTCGAAACCCATTGTCAATATGGGCGTTGCGATTGAGCGCCTGAAGAATCTGCACAAACGGATTCCTCAAGACAATGCGGATGCATTGCTTACCTGGGCGCAAGGTGCTCAGAGAGTCTACCGCGAGTACTTGAAGGCATGGCGACTTGGGTTCAAGGATGTTATTGTCAATCTCGCTCCACTTGAAGAGGATGAGGCCTCTCAAAATGCGGACACGAAGAGTCTGGACGAAGGCCTGGAACGAGACGAGAATGGCGATATCATCGATAGCGATGGAGAAAAGGTCGATGTCGCCTACCTCTTGAAGAGACCTCTAGTGCGACTCAAGTACTTGGCCAAGAGCTTCAAGGGGATTAATGTGCTGGAACCATCCACCAAGGCCGAGGAAATGGCCAATGCCTACCAGAGTCTTGTTTACGATGCCCGGAAACGTGTTCGAGATGAAAGAGCGAGATTGGAAGATGATTCCGCTGCTAGTATCGATCCAACCCGAACTAGAGACCCCATGACCTTGGGTGTCCTTCGGGGTATAACTGTTGATCAGACTCGTCGTGTCCGGGCTCGTGATTTCTTCAATCTATCTCTATACCACTCGAGTGGTCAGCTGGTGGACTGCCGGGCTGAGCTGTTGTACCGAGACAACACTCCGAGCAAAGGACCTGGAGGTGATCTACTCATTTGTGAGATCGATCACTCTGATCGCTGGCTGCTTTTCCCTCCCATGGATGTGCGATGTGTCTCAGCTCGCAGGGGAGAAACTAGACACGAGATCGTGCTTATGCTGCGCAGTGCACCCGAGGACACCACCAAGTACTGGCAAGAACTGATTTCACTCCGCATTGACGAAGAAGATGTCGGAGCTGAATGGATCCAATTGCTTGGTTCGGACCCTATCCCACCATCAATTTGTAGAAGCCAAAGCTTCATCAGCCGAGCCAAGCAGAATAGGGCCCGCAAGCCTACTGCCCATGGCTCTCCCCCTAGGGCACATCCCAATGACGTTGATGTTCCGATTGGCGAGAAGGCCACTGGAAGACGGCGCTCATCGACTCCAAAGGAACACTTCTCCGAGCCCAGTACTGTCAGCTCTGTTATTGACGCAAGAAGCTCTGTGTATTCCACAGCCACCCGGGAGACTGACTATACCACTGGAGGATCAGAGTTGTCAGCAAAGCCATCCCGGCCCGACCTACCTCTTCTTCCTTCCACAGACCCCCGGAACTCGCCTACTAGCCCCGACAAGTCTTCCACAGGACTCAAGCGATCCAAGGCTAAGAGACTTTCACGCTATGGCGAAAGCCCGGCTTCGGAGACTGTATCCCCAAACACTGTCGTATCTGACAAGCCGGATGACAGCACCATTGTGACTTTACCAGCGGTGGCTACACCGACACCAAGTACGCCGACAGCTACACCACCAACAACGGGCAGATTTTATGGTGGCGAGAAGTCCGACTTTGCGGACGCGGGTTCTCCAAGAGGAAAGCCCTCCAGAATTCCCCAGAAGACCCCGCAAAAGTCCCCGCAGAAGACGCCTGCTAGAGAATCGCCCGAACCTGAATCACCAAGGGTATCATCTGTGCCCTCGGCAGTTCTTCCTCTGATCCCCAAGATCCGAACTCCCAGTAGCCAGACGCATCTGTCTACACCTACGAGCATTGACGACGAGGAGGAAGACTATCCCCCGCTGGATGCTCTTCCAGAGCGCGAAGTCCCGGAAACGCCGACAAAATCCAAGAGGAAGAAGTCCCGCAGGAGGCCCAAGTCCTCCGATGACAGTCCTCCGCCTCCCCCGCCTCATCGATCACCTAGCCCTTCCACTGGCAAGCGTTCGAGCGCTCCTGTCCTCACTTCCAGTAGCGGTGGGCTCAAGCGTCGTGGCTCTTCTCCCCTAAAGCACGAGTATGAGCCTTCGACCGCTTCGGACTACACGGAGACTGATTCGGACGCGTCGACTGTCCGACACTACACCTACTCATCATCGGAGTACTCACGATCCGCTAGATCATCTGATTCGGAGGACGACTACTCATCGGTATCCGACGAAGATGAAGATTACCAAGATACTCCCAAGGCTAGAGTGGCCGAATCAACTCTCGAGGGCAGTTCTCTCTCGCCTTCCAACTCTGCGTCGCAAGGTGGCTACCGTGCTGTGCCACTGCAGCCAACAAAGACATCCAAAACAATTGCGGGTGTCTTTGTTTGGTCCGACAAAGGAAGCTGGGAGACTGTGCTTCCTGACGACTGCGACATTATTGTCAGTCCTGGTCTGATTGAAGCCTTCAAGATGGGATCTGATCCCAATTCATCATCAAGACCACTCATTTCTCTCGAACTTACACCACTCGTTCCTATCCGCCGTGGCACTGCCATCGACATTAGCATTCGCTCTCCCCCCACTGAGCGGTCCAAGATCACATCCAGTAATAACATTATGTTCCGCTCGCGCAGTCCCGAAGACTGCGATACCCTCTACGGCCTCATCAACCAAGCAAGAATCAACAATCCAACCTACATCGCCCTCCAAAACGCCCGCGGACCATTCAATGGCCACCCCGTTGCATCCTTCGAGCCCGCCACAAAATCCAGCGGAGGCCTCTTCGGCTGGCCCCGCCGCAGAAAGAGTTACCGCGCCTCAAGCTCCCCCCGCTCCCTGGCTGAAGGATCCGAAAGCAGCGTAGGAACCATGAGCAGCGCCTTCTCCGCATTGAAGCGCTTCGGCGCCGGCAGCAAGATGTTCAACATCTCCCGCTCAACCATCGAATCCCGCAACGGCCGCGAAGGCAGCATCCACTCCGGCTCCGGCGATTCCGGCACAAACCCATCTCCCAACTCGGGCATCGGCCGCATAGCGGCAGCAATCAAGGGTGCTGACGGCATCGGCCTCTCAAACGCCAAGATCCGCCTCTACGCCCGCGAATCCGCCTCTAAATGGCGCGATATGGGCGCCGCCCGCATGACCATTATGCCCGCTCCACCCAAGAATACCTCTCGCCCCAGCACAGCAGTCAGCGGCCGCAGCGATAGCAGTTTACAGAGGGGTGATACAGACGGCACGAGTAGCAGCTCACCACCCACCTCAGGTGCAGCCTCTCCACGCCGTGGCATTGAGACAGAGAAGCGTATTGTCATCCGCGGCAAGACTCGCGGTGAGACACTATTAGATGTCTGTCTAGGCGAAAATGCCTTTGAGCGCATTGCTCGTACGGGTATTGCCGTTTCAATTCGCGAAGAGAATGAAGACGGCTCCGTGGCTAAGAAGGGCGGTGTCGCTACGGGCTCTGGCAAGATTTTCATGATCCAAATGAAGAGTGAAGCTGAGGCGGCTTATACCTTTGGGCTTGTTGGTAAGCTCAGGTATTAGCTACTGGAGGTTATGAGTGTATGTGTGGACGAGGGATAGATGTGAATACGGACATGGATATGTATTTGGGCGGTGTATTGTGATTGTGCTGGCTGGCCTTTGTCTTTCTTTTCAACGTTTCCTTTCTCTCTTTTCTTTTCTCTGTCACTCATGTATATCGTCAGTCACTTAATGGCTCCTATTTTATAAATATTATATCTTCCCGTCTGTGGATTTTTCTCAGATATACTTTCGCAGCACGCTGTTTACATTGTGCAATTCTATCCCGTCAACTGTATACGAACTTCTCTCATTGGATCGAAGTACATTGCTGACACTATGCGGCGTGTGGTGTACCTTCATATGTAGGACAACTTATACTGGAGAATACATTTAATCAAATAGAATCCCCGCAGTATTGTAACTAGATTTACATTGATACATGGAGTATTATGGGAGCAAGCATTGATAGTCTAGACCAACCCAAGAAAACGTTCAAATATAGTTTGCGGCTCTTGGAAATAAGGTTCGGGAAAGAACCAAAGAGTGCGGGGCAATATCACTCCCCGTTGTTGACCTTTGGAACATGTAATATTTCGAAACTAGGATATGAAGTAACTCCGAACTAAATCAGTAGCTTTTCTGAAAAAATGAGCAAAATGTTCAGCATGGTACGGCTGAAGAATTTGCATCAATTAGTCCGTCCAATCATTCTGCCAGTACCAGCATTGAAGAGCCTTTGCAAATTCCCAATACTCAGGATACCACTCACTCAATTCCCAATTAATAATAGCAGCCACAATTTCATCTCTCACCATAATATTCCGAGGATGGAAATCTCCACGTGTAACCAAAACGCGGTGCGATTCAATAAGCATTCCCTTCAAGAGGTTCCGAATATGGCGTTTGGCGTTGTCTTTGAATAGAATTCAACATAAACTCACCTTTATCAAGCGACTTCTCTAGGCTATGATCAGTAACTGGGCCATGATCTACAGTCAAATATAGTTGCTTTCACCCAAGTAGCGGATCTCTTGGATATAGCCCGAAAGCTGCTTTGTGATACGGGCTTTGGTCGCGACATCCAAATGAGTCCCAGGCACCATAGAGCGTTTTGACTTCAATGAAGCCCATAAAGATATAGGTGTCATACAGGCCTCCGTAGAGGGGCACCACAATCAACGGACCATGGTATAAAAAAGGGAATACCCTAGGGACGGGGATCTCTGTGTTCTCTGCAACATAAATCAGGTTTTTGGTCTCGATGAAGTCGATATGAGTACCAAACTTGACGACGACGCCAGGTGATATCTTAACAATTCTGACATCGTGGGTAAAGGCCCGATGTTTTCACTTTTTAAGCTCCGTGATAGTCTCGGGGGGATGGGAAGCAAAGCCCAGACGTAGAGTAATGTATAGTCAGCTGAGGCTCGGAAGTGGGAGGGTTGGGNGGGGGGGGGGGGTTTGTGGGGGGAAGCGCTCAAGTCCGGTTCTACAACCGGTGTCTAACACGGGCGTCTAAGCCCATGTTACCTATTGTCTATGTACTTTTCAAATCCCTTTGAACTTCACCTAAATGTCCAAAACTGTCTCAAGAAAGCTAAGACATCCTGATTCATATTTTACATGTGTCTGGCATCTGAACACTGTGCATGTAACGCTCATCACACCCAGTGCAGGAGGATCCCCTTGTATACTTGACTTTATCGTTCTACATTCAGGGCAAGTCTTCGACAAGTCTTATATTAACTCAGACTAACCAAAGCGCCTTTGGATTTGTTATTGTCTCTAGATTGCAGAGAACCCAAGGAAATACCCAGACAGTAAGTATACTGTTGACTGTAGATAGTTCTATTGATGTATTTGAGTATCTGTATATACAGGTAAACAAGTAACCTAGATGGAGATCAGCAATAACAAGACGCCAACGCCGATAACCATGCCATCCCATCCCACCGAATCCAGCATTATGTACTCATCTCCGCACCACTAGTCTTCTTGAACACATACCCAATCATGTTACACTCATCCTTAAGTAAAGAGACAAGCACATCATCATCAATAGCAGCCTCGAGATCCTCATCGACACCAGCAGCACCGGCTTCACCGGAAAGGAGAGATGGATCGATATGCGAGTACTGCGCCAGAGACTGATGCATCTTATCTTTCTGGCCCCGGGATTTATCAGTCCCCTTCTTGCCCTTAGCAGTTCTCTTCCAAGCCCGATCTCGGATTGCCCTTTCCTGCTTCTCCATATCAACTTTAGAAGCTTTGATAAGGGTCATCGGATCTGGCAACTCGTCCGAATCATAATCCTCATCCGACAGGGGCTCTGAAAGCTCAGACAGCTCAGAACCATCACCATCACCGGTGGAAGGAGTGGCAGCACCAGAAGAGGATCCAGAAGCAGGGGTCAGCCCCGTCCCACCGCAAGTACAACCCAACAAGTCGTGAGTCTGACACCCACTTTCCTCATCAAGACGGAACAAATCTTTCAGTTCCGCTGCAGAGAATTGCGCAACACTGTTATTCTTGTCTTGCATCACACTATCCGCAAGACCCAACTTCGTCACCTGTCTTTGCCAGATCTTCTCTTCGAGACTACCCTTCAGCAGAACACGATAGATCCGACAAGGCCGTTTCTGGCCGTCACGGTGGATCCGAGCCATGGCCTGGATATCCGTTGCGGGATTCCAGTCAACATCGAAGAGAATGAGGCGGCTTGCGCCAATGAGGTTGAGACCTGTACCGCCTGCCTTTGCTGAGAGGAGGAATGCGAAACAGGAGCTTGCGGGGAGACGGTTGAAGTCGTCGACCAGGCCTTGGCGCTTTTGGGCGGGCGTGCTTCCATCTAGGCGGAGGTAGGGGAGGCCCAGAGAGGATAGGAGGGTGGAGAGGAGAGTGAGCGTTGATGTGTAGTTTGAGACCAGGACGATTTTTTCGTCTGTGGTATTGCGCATGCTGTCGAGGAGTTGGTCTAGGACGCGGATTTTCGCGCTAGAAGAAGGAGAAAGGTGTCGGTGCAGGTTTGGGGGAATAGATTCAAGTAGGGCGGCGATTGTTTCGTTTGGAGAGTTGTCTTTGTTTTTGGCTGTTAACAGGGACGGGCTGTTACACAGTTTCTTAAGGATGGTAATCAGTTTCAGGGCACTTTCGGTATTTCCCATGGCGTATTGGAAGACTGGAGAGGCGAGGACACTCTTGTAGATGGTTGCTTGAGGCCGCGTTGGTTTGCAGAACAAGACATATTCCGACTTCGGTGGGAGGTATTTGGCGAGTATGTCTGCTGTTCGGCGGAGCATGAATTTCGAAGTGAGTTCCCTCAGCTCCTCACCTCTCGATTCTCCCTTCTCGATCTCTTTGCTTGTGGCTTCCGGCTGTCGACTTCGAACGATTGGCGTTTCAAATTCTTTGATGAAGGACTTGAAATTGCCTAGAATGCCGGGATTGACCAGATCCACGGCTGCAAAGAATTCCCTCAGGTCGTTTTGGATTGGCGTGCCAGACAGAATGACTCTCTTTGCAGCATTGAGCGACTGGATCGCCTGACCACTCTTGTTCTGCAACGTCTTCAGTCTGTGACCTTCATCCGCAATGATGATATCAATTCCAGAGCTATTGGCCAAAGCCTCCTGCACCGTCCTCAGCTTCTCATACCCGACAATCATGATACTGTAAGCCCGCCCTTTAGTAAAATCGGTCAAACGTTTCTGCTTGTCATCAAAGACAAAGACACCAATGCGCTCATTGCCCAACCACTTGCGGAACTCCTTCCGCCAGTTATTGATCAAAGTAACGGGACAAACAATCAAAGCCTTCTTAATGACAGGCGCATCCTCAAAGACAGGATTCTGCTTAAGCAAAGTCCAAAGCAGCGTAATAGTCTGCAAAGTCTTGCCCAATCCCATATCATCAGCAAGGATAGCGCCTTCGCCATTGAAAGACCTCATTCCCATAACACACTCATACAGAAACTGGACACCCTCCCGCTGATGCGGCCGTAAATTTTTACACAAAATCGGATCAACAACGACATCAACAACTTGTCTCCCCTTGGGTACTGACTTCGGCCGTGGCATAACCAACGCCCCAGGTGCCTTGGGATCATGACGCGGAATGACCTTCCCAGCAACCTTTGGAACAACAGTATTCTCGAGCAACGGCTTCTTGTACGCCGAAAATGCCGCAGGTGCGTTCCCCGGGTTCGCAGAGGGATTAGTCACCAATGCCAGCGAACGCTTGAGAGACTGAGTCCGCTCAGCGGCAGTCGGGATTGATTTCTGCGCCTGAATTTTCTTCCGCGCAGGAAGCGCTTCTTTCTTCGACGCCACGGGTGCAGACACCGGCGCCGGGCCCGGTTTGCTGCTTTTTAGGAACCCTCTACCAGAGAGGTATTCCGAACGGGGAATCTCGGAATCAACCTCGACTTCTTTGCCAGAAATGGAAAGCGTTGTTCCTGGCTCCAGTCTGGATTCGTGCATTTTGTGTCCCATCTCTTTTCCTGCTAAGTCTCGTAGGTAGACGAACCCTCCACGTGCGGAGAGAATCCCATCTCCATCCCATGTTTTATGCTTTTTGGCAGTTGGTTTCCGCCTGCTTTTGTTAGCTGAATTCGATATTGGGGCTTGGCCCTGTGGGGTGGACGCCGGTCCAGGACCTACCAAAGGACATTGAAATATTTCTCGTCTGTTGAGTCATCATTGAGCGATTCCACCGAGGATGATGTTGAACTATTTGTCCCTTTATTGTTGACTTGTACGAGTGGCTTCCGGCTGGCTAGCGGTGTTGATTTCGCGTCCGGGTCGGGTGTGGGTTCGTCGCTGAGCAAGCGGGGCTTTTTGGCGGGAGGAACGGAATCATCGATGTTCTCGGTCGAGGATGGGACTGGATTCCTAATCAAAGGAGACTTGAAGGGTTTGAACACCATGGTTGTGCTGGTCTTTGTGAAGATTGTGTTGGGTCAACGCGAAGTCGCGGGACGCGTGATCACGTGCCACATTAATAGATCGTTCGGATTGCAAGGGATTGGTCTAGAACAGCACCAGATTGATAAAATTAACTCTTTTTAAGATGGAGCCTACAGATCTTGGCACGGAAGGTGGAT